GAGTTATGGTGGTGGTGTTCGTGATGTGGTGTTATGGTGGTGGTGATCGTGATGTGGTGTTCGTGATGTGGTGTTATGGTGGTGGTGTTCGTGATGTGGTGTTATGGTGGTGGTGATCGTGATGTGGTGTTCGTGATGTGGTGTTATGGTGGTGGTGTTCGTGATGTGGTGTTATGATGGTGATGATCGTGATGTGGTGTTATGGTGGTGGTGATCGTGATGTGGTGTTATGGTGGTGGTGTTCGTGATGTGGTGTTATGGTGGTGATCGTGATGTGGTGTTCGTGATGTGGTGTTATGGTGGTGGTGTCAATGATATAGTGTTATGGTGGTGATGTTAGTGATGTGGTGTTATGATGGTGGTGATCGTGATGTGGTGTTATGGTGGTGGTGATCGTGATGTGGTGTTATGGTGGTGATCGTGATGTGGTGTTCGTGATGTGGTGTTATGGTGGTGGTGTCAATGATATAGTGTTATGGTGGTGATGTTAGTGATGTGGTGTTATGATGGTGGTGATCGTGATGTGGTGTTATGGTGGTGGTGATCGTGATGTGGTGTTATGGTGGTGGTGTCAATGATATAGTGTTATGGTGGTGGTGATCGTGATGTGGTGTTATGATGGTGGTGATCGTGATGTGGTGTTATGGTGGTGGTGTCAATGATATAGTGTTATGGTGGTGGTGATCGTGATGTGGTGTTATGGTGGTGGTGATCGTGATGTGGTGTTATGGTGGTGGTGATCGTGATGTGGTGTTATGGTGGTGGTGTCAATGATATAGTGTTATGGTGGTGATGTTCGTGATGTGGTGTTATGATGGTGGTGATCGTGATGTGGTGTTATGGTGGTGGTGATCGTGATGTGGTGTTATGGTGGTGGTGTTCGTGATGTGGTGTTCGTGATGTGGTGTTATGGTGGTGGTGTCAATGATATAGTGTTATGGTGGTGGTGTTAGTGATGTGTTATGATGGTGGTGATCGTGAGGTGCTGTTATGGTGGTGGTGATCGTGATGTGCTGTTATGGTGGTGGTGTTAGTGATGTGTTATGGTGGTGGTGATCGTGATGTGCTGTTATGGTGGTGATGTTAGTGATGTGGTGTTATGATGGTGGTGATCGTGATGTGCTGTTATGGTGGTGGTGATCGTGATGTGCTGTTATGGTGGTGGTGATCGTGATATGCTGTTATGGTGGTGGTGATCGTGACATGGTGTTAGCCCCTGATGATGATAGGCAGCGTTTGTTAATCGTCCACCAACTACTGATAATACTGTATAGTAATGTCGAACAGGGTGTCTTTTACAATACCACGAGAGGTCGGTGCTATAACTCAACCTTTCCTCTCTCTCACACACACACACACACACACACACACACACACACACACACACACATCTTTTACCAACCACTTCCTTGCTGTCTTAATAATAATTTAATATTTGGGAGTCGGATATGGAAACAGTCGCGAATTATGATGACCTTGTTACTGTTTTGGGGGAAACTTGAGAATGTAACCTAACAACGTCCATTTTGCATGATTATTTGCAACCGTATAAATATTTTTTCGCGTGTGTGTGTGTGTGTGTGTGTGTGTGTGTGTGTGTGTGTGTGTTTATCGATCAAGATATATGAAAAACTAATAGCATCTGTCCCAGCTAGAATGATAGAAACAAACTTTAGTCCTGTCCGTAATGATGTTCAGTGGCCGCCTCTCAGGGGTCCGAAGAGACAGCGCCCCACACCAAGAAGTACGCGACATATTCCCCAACACTCGTAGCAATTTTGTCGTGGTGGAAATGTTGCAGTCAAACGGTGTAATCAGTCATTTCGCGAAATTATTAAATGAAGTATGTGATGTGCATGTTGTGGTATGGTTAGGTTAGGTTTGGTGTGAATAATAATGAAATTTGACAAATATTAGCTGTATAACCTAACCTAACCATACATGTCGTATTTCATGAAAACGGAGCATTTTCCAGGTATTTCACAATTTACCCGATTTCACATATAATAATTTCGTGAAATTACTAATCACACAATTGACTTTAACAATAATACCGTGGGAGGAAACAAGGTGACTCAGGTGAAAGTTGTGCTAACAGGGAGAAAATCAACAAGGCAAGATAGTGTGTCTAGACGGAACAAAACGCTGAGCCAATGTCTCAACTTGGCTCTATTGATAACACACCAGCTTACAGGCACTATGGCACCAAAATGCGCCCTCTCTCCTTTTCTCACTAAATATTAGGAGCGTCATGATCAGCAAGTGATTAAAAATTATCTTCTTGCATTTAAACTATTATTATGAACCAAAAATATACAGCAGTATTCTGTTTCCCCCTATTTCTACAAGTTGTAACATATTCTGAACTTTTTTAACAGCCTCACGTGTCCCAGAAGAAAAGTAACTTTGTAATCACCCTGCTATCACAACTAAGCATTTCATATATTTACCCAACTATTCATTTGATATATTTTCACATTCATACATTTTATATATGCATGTTACGTAATCCTTAAGATCCTTTATGGATTTCATGTAATCACTGTGACCGTCAGCTAATATGGAATTCCTTTTTTTTTAGGGAGGGGGGGGGGTTTACGTGAAATCCATATTTTTGTAGCTATTTACTCAATGCATTAAATGTACACAGTGTCTACTTGTGAACATAGGGGAGCACAGCAAAAGGCAATCAGTTACGATGTTCTCAAAGAGGCAAATTATTGGAGAATATTTTGCAGGGTTGGAAAAAATCGTGATTTAAAAAAAAATAAAAAAAATCGATTTATTTGATTTAAATCGGGTTTTTTTATTTACATCGATTTTTTTCACTAATTGCATTAAAATAGTATTTTTAAACCATAAAAACAGTATTTTTAAACCAAGGCTTATTCGGGGTAATAAACAGAAAATTGGCATTAAGATATTTATGCAGCAGATGTACCAATGGAATTTAACACAATAATATTCTTTTTGTAAAATAAAAGAAAACTGGTAACATATCTTACATTTGAGTGCACAATTCCAAACGTAATAATGAAATTTAACATAAATGCTATTATAGGATTACAGTGTTTCAAAAATTAATAACTTAACTTCTTTAAGTCAACAGAATAATATTCTCATTTTGTAAACAAAATAATACTGGTAGTAAGTTTATTTTCTTACATTTGTAGGATTATAGTGTATTAAGAATTACCGGTAATAACTTCAAGTCAACACAATAGTCTCATTCTGTAAACAACAAAAATAGTTCAAAACATTTCCATGAATGAAGCATTCAACTTTCAACTCTTAAGTTAATTAACATTTATGAATAAAGGACAAAAACATGATTTCCTTTTATTGTATTATGTTTTTCACTTAGCTTAGTTATCATAGCAAATTAGGGAGAAAAAAATGTTTTCAGTGAGAGCAATGTTGTGTGTTGTGTGGATGACAATATTTACATTACTTGGCACTCAGCGGACGACCTTAATTAGCCTACAGCAAATGTTCAATGTATCATAGTATGTGGAGCCCTCAAATAAATCTGAGAGCCTCTTGGCCCCGAGCTTTTTGAATTCCAGTAAATAAATTGTTCTTAGGATCAGTTTTGAGCATCCGTTGACAGAATAGGGGGGGGGGGGGGTCGACACAAAGAGACAGAAGTGAGACATTATCGCCATGGTTCATATTTTAGCAAATGCCGTAAAGAAACTTGCCCATAGTTTCACCCTGCCCGATGATCGAACCCGGGTTCACTCGCTTGGGAGGCGAGCATGCTGATCATTACACGCCAGGTCGCCACCTTTTAAAACTACATACCTTACATTCATAAACCACGGTCACTTAACGGTTGTAAGCCACGGTCATCTAACGGTTGTAAACCACGGTCATCTAACAACTGTAAACCACGGTCATCTAACAACTGTAAACCACGGATATCTAACGGTTTCAAACCACGGTCATCTAACGGTTGTAAACCACGGTCATCGCACGGTTGTAAACCACGGTCATCTAGCAACTGTAAACCACGGATATCTAACAACTGTAAACCACGGATATCTAACGGTTTCAAACCACGGTCATCTAACGGTTGTAAACCACGGTCATCTAACGGTTGTAAACCACGGTCATCTAACAACTGTAAACCACGGTCATCTAACAACTGTAAACCACGGTCATCTAACAACTGTAAACCACGGATATCTAACGGTTTTAAACCACGGTCATCTAACAACTGTAAACCACGGTCATCTAACGGTTGTAAACCACGGTCATCTTACGGTTGTAAACCACGGTCATCTAACAACTGTAAACCACGGTCATCTAACAACTGTAAACCACGGTCATCTAACAACTGTAAACCACGGTCATCTAACAGCTGTAAGCAACGGTCATGTAACCTGTTCTGAGTTACTTACAACTGTTATTCTTCAGATGAATATTATCTTTATTCACTGCTGTGGTGTAAAATATCTAGTTCAGTGATGGTCAGTCATGATCTGGGCCCACACTAACGTGTTGTTTGAGCTGGTATAATGCTTTTTTTTTCCTAACCAGAGATGTGACAACACTTGCAAACATTGGAGAATTTCGCTGGATTTTCGTTTTAGCTGAAAGTATTGTGTCGTACTCTAAGTGAAGCAGTCACTCAAAAATGAAAGCAATGAACTTTTGAGAATCTATCACCAAATTTCGAAAATATTTCGTTGCGCATTGTTTTAATTTGCGTGTACATGCCATCTTTATTATGCGTTTATCCTACATATTTCTTTGTAATGCTTCGTGTAAGACTTCTAGTACCATCGGAATAAACAATATACTTATCAAATTTACCACTGAGACACTCACATGGCAGCTTATTGATATAATAGATTATCACATGATAATTTTATCTAGGTATATAAAAAGGCTAACCTATTTTATGCCAGCTTTCACGTTGGGGCGGTCAGTGGTGAGTATATAAGCTGTAGATAGCGGGAGGTGGAGCATAGGCGTGGTGTCGCAGTTGTGTCGCCATGACCACCTCCACAGCTCTCCTCGTTCTCGCCCTTGTGGTGGGTGCTGGTGCAGGTGAGTCTCACTCCTTATTCCTCCCCAACACCAAACAACTCCCCAACGCCACACACCTCCCCAACACCAAACAACTCCCCAACGCCACACACCTCCCCAACGCCACACACCTCCCCAACACCACACACCTCCCCAACGCCACACACCTCCCCAACACCACACACCTCCCCAACGCCACACACCTCCCCAACACAACACCACACACCTCCCCAACACCACACACCCTCCCAACACCACACACCTCCCAACACCACACACCTCTCAACACCACACACCTCCCCAACACCGCACACCTCCCCACACCACACACCTCCCCACACCTCACACCTCCCCAACACCACACACCTCCCCAACACCTCACACCTCCCCAACACCACACACCTCCCCAAACCCTTACAGACAACTGCGTTACCTCATTTAGGACATGTCCTCTTCATTTCCTCTTCACTGTTTCAGAAAGTTTGTGAAACATTGCCCGCAACATTCAATGCCTAGTGTTATATATTTACCAGAGAACCACACAAGTACAGTGTATTCGTGAGCATTGTTCATCTTTATGCGACAACCATACAACACTCTCATCATACTGTGTTCTATCTAATGTTTACTTTTGGATTGACAATGGTGTTCTGTCTAATGATGTCTATGAATACCATATCTTTACACACACACACACACACACACACACTACTACTACTACTACTATTACCTCTAAATAGTCTCCATCCTCCCCTAATAGCCATACCTTCGCCACCATTTTATTACCTTAAAATTAAATATCTTAATACATAAGTAGCTATCCTAGCTGTGTTGAGTTAGTTGAGCCGTAGATCTATGCGGCATTCAGTGACTGTTGCCTCATAGTCAATTTCTGCAACTGACTACTACTACTACTGCTACTTTACTGTCACTCGGAATCGAGTATGACGATCATCCAGCTATGACACAATGATATGAGTAATTAAGGCTGTCACCTACGTTGGTGAGTTCTGAGGTGACTAAAGAGGCCGTTACGGGACCGGCAGGATCGTTCGCAGATGTTGCACGTGTGAAGGGCTACATCTAATGCGGGGGCAGTGTCTTTCCGGCGCTGGCGCTTGCCTGCCTCGGTGTGCAGTCGGCCTAACTCGAAAGTATTGGCATTTTCTCGTGTGGTGCGCCTCCAAGCGTTACAGTGTGGAGTAATCGTCTCCCAGGTGTGGGGGTCGATTTGGCATTTTTTTTCAGGTTCATTTTAAGACTAGCCTTTTACCTTTCCAGTTGCCCGCCAGCGTTACGTTTACTATTCGTTAGGTGACTGTAAAGTAGCTGCTTTGGCAGTCTACTGTCGTCCATGTAGGTAACATAGCGAGTCCAGTGTAGTTGATCATGGATAGTGGTAGCCTCGATGCTCCTACAGTTGGTGTCAGCGAGAATACTGGCATTTGTTCTCTTGTCTTCCCAGCGAACTCGGAGGATGGGACGTAGACTACGTTGGTGAAAGTTTTCAAGTGCCTTGAGGTGCTTCCTGTATGTGACTCATGTCTTGTTGCCATATAGCAGGGAGGACCACTGCACATCTAATCTGATGTTGAATATCTTCATCGAGGTCCGTGGTGGTGGACAGGTAGGAGCCGTGAAACTGAAAGTGGGTAACATTAGAGAGGGTAGTACAGTTAAGATGGATGAATGGTGGAGGTGTGTCTGAACCAGGGGCAGGCCGGAATGTGCATACGCATCTGCGTAGGTGTTCAGGATATCCTGTAGGTCGCGTTCAGTGTATACTGAAGTTCAGTAATGGAAGCTGCCGACACCTTTGTTTCTGCCTGTAGTCACCTTATGTTGAAAAGACCCTTCATCCGGTACTCGATGTTCACCTCGCCGGCTAATTTGGCACTGGCACGAGTAAGTAAGGCAGCCAAGAAAATGGAAAAGAGAGTGAGTGCTAGTATACATCCTTGTTTTACCCCCGTTTGGATGGGAAAGAACTCAGATTGAGTACCATTGTGCAGGACACTGCCTTTTATGCCATTGTGGAGTTGCCTCACAATGGCGATGAATTTTGGTGGGCAGCCAAAACGGTTCCTTGTTGACCGAGTCGAATGCCTTGGTTAGGTCGATGAAGGCCATGTGCAGTTCACGATGCTGTTCTCAGTACTTTTCCTGTATCTGGCGGGCAGCGAAGATCATATCAGTGGTGCTACGTGATGATTCTTGGAGGAAGTTTTCCGCCTCAGGAAGAAGTCTGTTTAGGAGGACTCGGGCGATAATCTTGCCAGCTACGGAGAGCAGCAAGATCCCACGGTAGTTGCCACAGTCTGACCAGTCTCCCTTGTTCTTATAAATATTGACAATGGAGGCATCTTTAAGAGCTTGGGGGATTTCCTCCTTTTCCCATATGTTTTCCAAGAGAGAATGGAGACGGCTGGTAAGCAGAGGTCCTCCTGCACACACACACACCTATTATTGCGCTCAATGTCACTTTATTAATTAAAATACGTTGCTTCGTTTTATTTAAAATGTAAGGAAACAGAAGCCGTCACAGATGGTATTCTTCTAAAGAAAATCATCAAGCACAATGAATTTATCATAATCTTTATGTTTGTATTTTGTTAACAAGCTGGAGTTAGAGGACATGAAACTATTATCTAAAAAATAGAGATTTGTGTATATATGCACATTAAAACTGGACACTTCTAAAATTTGGTCAGCATCTGTCAAAATCCAGGATCATAGTGTTAAGGTTATATGACAGGTTATAGCGTTTATTTAATGCATTCTCCCGGTGAATTATTTAATCATAGACAGAAAAACATATAAATTAATATTGAATGTATCGTCCCTAAACCTTACCCGTCACCGTTGGTGTTCCTTAAAACTTCAGCAAAATTTTATTCACAAACTTTCTCCCTGGTACTATTACAAGTACATTGTGTGTTATATTCTGGCCTTCACCACCAGCACCATGGGGAGGAAACACACCCAGATGCTCTACGGAATGTCCCGTCGCCGGCTCCCCCAAACTCTTCTACCAGCCAGAACACACCTACACCTACACCTACTCCGGAAAGTCCCACATCCACCTGAAGGGCGTGGAAGGTGGAGTCACAGAGACGGATTGGTCTAAAGAAGTTGAACTATCATGGATCACCCCCTGTGACATGGTCATCTTCATTAAGAACTCCAAGGTGGATGGTGCCGCAGGTAAGTGTAATGTTTATCATCATACATGGTACTAATACCGGCAGTAGCAGCTGCTTTTACTACTTCCTAATACTGACACTAGATGTACTAACTACTGGTCTTCCCAGACCAACCCACTGCCAAGTTCCTGGAGAAGTACCCGCTGGTGGTGGCCCTGACCGACGGCCGGGTTCAGCACGTGTGTACTCATCCTGAAGACGACGTCTGGTCCATCAACATCAAGAAGGGCATCGCCTCAGCCTTCCAGAACTCACTTCCTTCTAATTCTACCATCAACTCAGGACAAAACATCACTGAGGTGAACATTGTATCAATTTCTTATTTACCATAGATGAAGACAAATTTATTGCCATTCTATAAACTCATTTGCTTTTTCTACTTTGTCTTCCCTCATTCGAAAATGAATCTTTATCCACTTTTGTAGGAAAGTTTTATGTTTTTTACTTGAATAAGTGTTTTGGTAATATAATGTATAGTCTTAAATCTGATTTCTATATAAATGTTTATATTAATAAAAAGGTTAAAATAAACTATTGATTTCACACACACACACACACGCACACACACACACACATTCGCAGAGATAAAAATGATACTATAAACGAACAGCATATGAACTACCCTAAGGTATTGAAACTAATAGTTCCCTACCCTAATTTAGCCCAACCTAGCATTATCTAACCTACTTTATGTTAAATTTGGTTGAGACAGTGAAAACTTCTTAAGTGAAAGAATATAAATTTTACTATAGATGGACTAATGACCATGGCGGAAAAGAAGTCCATTACGTTTTAAGGCTTTATCGGATAATTATCCCTAGAACATATGACTTACTACATGATTAAATATATCTGAAAATGCAAACTCTTCATCCTAATACGTTTTATATGTCTTTCAACAGACGGACGTGGTAGGGAAGTGCCCAACGCACTACGAGGTAGAGAGAGAAGGAGACAAGGTTATTGTGAAGAAGGAGAAGAATCACCTCTTGTGCAAGGAACGTTACCCCACCCCTGCCGAGACCCAGATGCCCTGGCTCAAAGGTCCTCTCCCACTGGAAGAGTCCAAGTGTCGATGTAAACAAGAGATTACCAATGGAATCTACTCTTCCATCATCTGTGAGGATAAGAAAGTGGTCCGTCCCAGCTATGGTGCCTATAAGTATGTTGAAGCCAAACAGGAGTCCACACTGCGATACGTCTCACTATCCAGCCAACAACCACCTGCCATCCCTCAAGATAGTCTAGTCCGCAAGAGTCTCCGGTATAGCTACCATACGCTCAACAAGGACCCGTCCATGGTAGCCGAGTTGGATCAAACCATGACTCAGATTTGTGAGAAGACTAAAGATGTTGTTGAGCGTGATGCTGCTGCTCTGGTGGCCAAGGCTGTGCAGCTCCTGCGTCGTGTACCCGAGGAAGCTGTGAAACAAACATTGGACAAAATTCGTGCCGGACGTTACTGCCAAGACCACAGCAAACTCGAGAGCCTCTTCCTGGACGCTGTTTCCTTCATCCACGAGTCTGGTGCTGTAAAGGTTATGGTGGATGAGCTGGTGAGTGGCCGGGCTACAGTAGGTCGTGCTGCACTTTACACTGCTGCCTTCTATCTTCAACCCCGCCCATGTATCCATGCCATGATGGCTCTGAAACCAATGTTCGAATCCTCCCAACCTCTGCCACGCGCCACCCTGGCTGCTGCCTCCATGGTCAACACTTACTGTCGCCACAATCATCATTGTTATGAAGAAGCACCGGTTAAGAGTCTTGCTGAAGCTTTGGGTAATAAACTACAACGCCAGTGTTCTCCTTCTGCTGATGAACGGACTCAAAAAGCAGCCCTGGCAACACTCAAGGCTCTAGGTAACATGGGAGTGATGACCCAGGAGGTAGCCAAGTCTGTGATGACGTGTGTGGATACAGAAGGAGTCAAGATCAATATCCGTGTGGCCGCAGCACAAGCCTTCAGACAAGTGAAATGTGAACGCCATGTAAGTAGCGCTTAAAGGTTGTTTGATGGAATAATAATTAAAATATTTTTAAAATGCTGATTGCTGGAAGAGCTATTGTAGCTTTAACTAAATTTTTATAAATTTCTCTCAACAGACAACTGGGCAGCTCCTAAGTCTTGCACTCAACCCTACTCATCATACTGAAGTTCGCATTGCAACTTATCTTGTGGCACTTCGGTGTGCTGAACAAAAGGATTTGCAGGAATTTGCTTCAAAGATTTCTGTGGAAAGGAACACCCAAGGTAAATGCATGCATTAATGATCAGAAATGATTTTGCCGAAATTATTCATTAGATGATAAAGGATAAAGTGCGTATAGTGCATAGTTAGAATAATCCTCTTCCCTGCAATTCTAGTTCGTGGATTCATCCTGAGTCATCTCCTCAACCTCCAGCAGTCTGATGATCCTAAGAAGGAAAACCTTCGGTACCTTCTGTCCAGTATTGTCCTTCCAAGAGATTTTGAAACAGACTTCAGGAAATATTCCCGCAACATAGACATGTCCTACTTCGCCCCGTCTCTCGGTGTTGGTGCCGGCGTTGAGTCCAACATCATCTACGTCCCTGGGTCCTTTGTGCCTCGCTCCGTTGACTTCAACTTCACTGCCGCCTTAGAGGGAATCTCGATGAACATAGGCGAGGTTGGTGTCCGACTTGAGGGTCTAGAACCTGTCATCGAGGAGGTGTTTGGACCTGAAGGTTACCTGCAGAGAACTAGTTTCAGCCAAATTCTAACCGACATAACTACATTTGTTGAGCAAGAAGGGAGCAAGATCATGGAGCACTTCGAGAACTCATTAAGACAAAAGAGATCCATCAACTTCTCTACTCTGTCTCACTTCTTCAGCAAGATTTATGGAGGCGAGAGATCTACTGTAGCTCATGCTGATGTATTCGCTCGCCTCATGGGTCAGGAGATAACCTTTGCTTCACTAGCTGGTGACTTGAAGGCCATCAGTGCTGACGGTATGATTGAAAGCTTCTTCTCATACTTCGATGACATTCTTCCTCAGATGAAGAACTTGCACATCAATTCAGCACGAGCAGCTCATATAAACTTTGACTACACCTTCCCCACCATCCAGGGCACACCACTCAAACTTCAGCTGAATGGAACAGCTGTTGCTGGACTGAAGATGCAAGGAAACCTTAACCTCGCTGACATCCTCTCTAACTGGAGGAATGGGGAGACCCTCTTTAAGATCATTCCTAGTCTCTCTGTCCAAGTAGATGGCTTCGTCGGCTACGACAGCTATATCGCTAGAACAGGAATCAAGACGACCAACACCATCTCCAGCAGCAACGGTGTTTCCCTCACTCTTAGGGCCAAGAACAGTGAAGAGTTGGAGGTTGAACTGGATCTTCCTGAGAAGATGGAACTTATCAATGTGAAGAGTGAGACTTACCTCATGAAGAGCGTGAGGGGCAGCCCAGACACCAAGATCATTCCACCATCCATGGGGGACGCCAGAGTGAAACGTCAATCGTGTATCAACAGTCTCGAACCAATGTTAGGTCTCAGGCTCTGTTATGATGTGGACGTTCCCGATATCTTCCGCAGTAACTCCTTGCCACTGGGAGCCCCAGCTGTTATCAAACTTTCCATTGAGAAGGCAGAGTCTTCTATGAAAGGTTATCTTCTGTCTGCCGCCACTCAGAACAAGAGAGGAAGCAAACTGGTAACAATGAAAGTAGCAACACCCGGGTCATCCCCACCAAGAGAAGTTGAAGCAACATTGTCCTACACTGAGCAAGAGGAATCCTTCATTGTCTCTGCTAGAATACGATCTTCTACGGTTACTAGTGGTGTCTGGGTCACAATCGTCAACAGAGAAGACCATAGGGGCGTCGAGGCTTTTGTTAACTTTAATTCCAGTAAGACAACAATATCTCGAGGAATTAAATTAGATCTCAAGACAAGAAAAACATCGTCTGAGGAGGAGTACGAATTCAGCATGTACAGCAGTCGAAACAGGAATTTCCCTCTTGAATCACAAATCATGGAGAGCAAATTTGTAAAGAAGCTTAATGGTCCTGAAGTTTCTTTGGATATTCTATCCCAAACAAAGAATGAACTGAGCCGCTACCTTGACTTTAATTTCGAAAGTAAGTTCTTCTCTTTACCACTTAATAATTTTGAAATATTCTTTATGAAACAAAATCTGAAGTGTGCTATCCCGATTCAGAAAATATCATAATACATAATTTTTGAGTCGGAAAATTTTAATTTGTTATAGTTTAAATAATTTAAATTAATATTTCATTGTGTTTGTGCAGTTGGGGTAGATCTGAGGTACACCCAGTACTCCCGGCTGCCTCTACCAACGAAACTACGCAAGTTTGTGTTCCAGAGTGGCATGAGAGGCTGGCAAGTTACCTCCTTTATCCATCAGACGAGAGACTCAGGCGAGACAGCTGAACACACATCTGCCTTCAAGATTATGTATATGAACCAAGATCTAATTTCTGTTAACGCCACCCAGTCTATGGAGGGAAGACTAGGCCATAACTTGGTAGTAAAGACAGCTGCTACAGGTAAGATTTATTTTTTGCTTTGATAATGCAGTAATAGAATTATTCTAACTAAGCTTCACTCTCTCTCTCTCTCTCTCTCTCTCTCTCTCTCTCTCTCTCTCTCTCTCTCTCTCTCTCTTAAAATAACAATTCATTCATATTCTGTCGCATCCATTTTCAGTTAAAATGGGGAGAACAGAATATAAAACATCACATACCATGTATTTCGGTGCTGTCAGGAAGGGTGTGTTATTTGAAGCACTTCGCTCCGGGGAGAACAAGAAGATTATAGACCTGAAGGCCTTGTATGAGTCTTCCGAACAATCACGGAAAGTCCATATTTTGGTGAGCTTTTGCATACATAACATAATTTTTCAAAGATTGAAGAGATTTTTCCTTTCTGTTTATATATCTATATTGTAATTTACAAATGTAAATATCACACAGAGAGGGTCCCGTAAAAGTAATTTTCTCTTGTAGGTGGCGGTGCCAGAGTACATGAAACTCATCAAATATGAGAGCCAGGCGGTGAAGCAGGAGCAGGGTCGTTACAATGTTAAAGCTGCCCTCAAGCACGGAGACCGCGTCATTTTCCAGGCTCATGGACCAATCACAGCCATGTTTTTCTCCCCAATGACCCACTTACAAACTGATATAAATTTTAATACAATAAAAAATCGTCCTTACAGATTTTCTTCTGTTATTAAATTTACTCCTCAGCAACAAATTATCTCCTTTGACCTGAAGAACGAACATGGACCCATTTTCACTGCAGAATGGGATGTGAAAGTAGAAGTCCCCCCAAAAACTGTCACTATCTTCAAGTTCCTACTACCCTCGTTGATAAACTATGAACTGGACGCTACTATCAACGAGGGAATCGTCCAGATTAACTTTGAGAACTTGTTGCTCCCAAATAGTTCCTCCCCTCGTAAACTGAAGGGTGCTGTTAACATTGATGTTAAACAAGAGAAGGTAGAAGTTGACTTTGCTTGGGATGCAGATCGTGACACAGGGAAGAAGATAAGAGTAGAAAGTCGAGCTATCAGAAGCTCATCAAACCCAGGACAGTGCACCCTCCAGTAAGTGAATAACACTATCAGTTTTAATTAAAATATACAAGATCGTAATGTTGTAAAAACTGTATAAATCGGCCTCTCGAGTCACCTCAGAGCTCACCAACGAAGAAAGCATCCTTAATCAACTCATATCATTGTATCATAGCTGGATGATCGTCATACTTTTTTTCGAGTGACAGCAAAGTAGTAGTAGTAAGTAATGTTGGGGTGTGCGATAATTTACTGGTGTAGTATTTTCTCAAATGTGTAAAAGCTGCTTTGATACCATAAGGATAAAAATCCTAAAAAAGCTGCATAGATATGTTGTCACAAGATATTTCACGTGGAAATTTATACAAATATTTATAAGTTCCTCTGATCTGTTTCTTTCAGAGGAGTTGTGGTGTTGACGCCGGGCACATACCGCTACCAGTTAGACCTCACAGGTACCAACCTTCTCAAACATTTCAGTGGTGTTAACAGCTTTAACCTACAGGTGCAGAATCCCTCCGAGAAGACTCTTAGAGTTGAGGTGAAGAACCAAGTTTCACTACAGCAAAGAACTCTCATATCAAACATTCTTGCTGTTTATAAGAGTTTTGATAACAAGAACTACATATTTTCAAATGACTTAGAACTGAAAGATCTGGGTACTCCAAGCAGCTATGAGCTCGACTATAACCTGAAGTTCACATTACCTGAAGGTCATGAAACAACTGTAAGCACAAAAACTAAGCATCAGCTTACGTCTCATGACCGAGTCATGGAGTTCAAGGTGAATAAGCTGAGGTGGTATTGTCTGTATTGTTAATTCAGAATTCTGAGACTTAATAATTATGAACTCATAAAAATCTATTTAAGATCATAAATATGCTAGTGTTAGTGAAAATATTTATCTTCTTACTCGAATAATAGAAGTATTATTAGCTGAGGCAGTATTCACATCAAAGTCCGTATCAAAGAACACCTATTTGATGATTTATTTAAATTTACGTGTTTCGATTGTTGAAAATACATTAAAATATTTTCTCCAGAGTGTTACATCGACTCCGAGTATGAGGAGGCCTCTACAGGTAGAGTTCTTGTCATCTACTAAAGACACTTCATACAACGTCATATGGAAGGCGGGCGTGGACACTCCAGCCACCATGTTTAGTTGGGAAATGGACACTTATCCTGCTGGAGGTGTCAAGGTCTTTAAATCTGCATTTGACGCCACAGCAATCCATAACTTCCTGGGAGCTATTGTGAAGATGGTAGGAAGACAAGGACAGGTTTATGAGAACCTCTTGATAGAACGTCCCGAGACCACGAAGTCAACAACCCGCACCACAGAGCGTGAGGATGAACATTCTTCCTCAGAGGGTACATACATGATTACCTTTAAGTCCACCCACAGCCTCTGGGATCAAGAGTCCAAGTATGAAGGACATATTAACCATCCAAGTCTGACCAGGGACATACGAGTAGAGGTTCAGTACTCGGTCACTGGAGAGAACATGAGAGGCACCATTGAGCTGGACATCTTCCCTGACACAGCTGACAAAATAACAGGCACTCTACAGTCAACCTTGGTCGCCAACAACACCGTTAGGGTGGAAACTTCATTAACTTCTAAGGTAAGTTTGTAAGCTTATCTCTGTTTATAAACTTCTCTATGTTTATAACTATAACAGCTTTTTCTTATATTCCTGTATATACCACTATAAGAATGCCATGACCTACCTCTTACAGAGCCTGAAGGTGAGCCCCAAGTTCATCATAGTGACGGCCTATGCTCCCCATACGGTTGGCTTTGACCTCATGTTCCAGAAGGCTCCCTCTTTACCAGTATCCTTCCAAATGTCGGCCAAGTACGACCGAGTCACTGATAAGGATGCAACAGCAGCTTTCCGCGTGGTGACCGAGGAAGGCCCCGTGGTGGACATAGCTGGAGTGATGGAGCTAGAGCAAGTTCCTGAGTGTACCGGCGTCAAGATCAAGGCCGTGGCTCTCACTTCTGTCCTCGGTACTTATGACATTTACTCAAGACTGTGTAGACCAGCCTTCATTGAGCTGATAACCACCAAGCGAGGCAGCCAAGAAGAGTACATTACAAAGTTCGGCTTCCAAACACCCAATAATATTGAGGCCAGTTTATCTGTGGGTGACAAGGATCAAAAAGAGAGACGCGCCATTGCCATGACGCGCTTAAAGCTTACTTCACCCGTCTTGGTCAATCTTGATTTAGTTTACAAGAAAGAACAAGTTACCGTCGTCAAGGTGAGTAAGGAACAAACTTACACATAGTTTGAGTTACGGCTTATGAACACCATTCATGAAATAGTTGAAACTATAAAAAAATTTCACGAATATTTATTATATGATCAAAAATATTTTACTTCAAATAAATGAAAAAAATAACTTAATCTAGCACGTATGATTTATAGGCTGCGTTTAAAAATCCATTTATCCAATAATGAATAATGACAAATGAAAAGAAAATAACAACAATAGTATACATATGTCCTTCATTTACTGCTTCTTCAGATTGTCAAGAGCTGAGTAGTAACATTGGTATTATTCTAGTTAGTATATCTTTGCATTTCAGTGATTTTGGTTAGATTTCCAAATTATCTTCTTTTGTGTGTGTGTGTGTCCGCGCGCGCGTTATCATTATCCTCTATGTGTATTATCAAATTTATCATCATTCTGTATGTGTACGTATGAATCTAAAATAAAATCAAATCTAGTAAATGAAATCTCGTCAACCTACTTTTCAGGGATTTTTTCTATAATCTTAATCTTCAAATTATATATATATATATTATATTATTTTATTTACAGAATGATGTCAATGAAAAGTATCAACGAGTGATGCAGTCTCTCGACTGGTGGGTTAACAGTATATATCAGTACCTGCAACAACAAGCTCAGCAACAAGGTAGTCACTTCCCTAACCCCGAGATCCTCAAGTTGATGAACGAAGCCAAACTTGACCTTCAACAAATATATGATGGTGTGATTTATGGTGAAGTTATGCCTCGGTGTAAGGCTCTCTGTAAAGTCCTCTGGGGTCCTACAGCCTCCTACGTAAGGGATATTTACTTCACTGCATGGACAGGCCTTGCTAGAGTACAAAGAGAAATCGAAAGCAGCCTGAGCCAGGAGATTGCTGCTTGGCTGGAAGAATTCCGTGGATTTACTGAAACACTCATGGACGGTAAGATGAGAAAGCGTTAAAGTACCTCATGACTGTTTTGTATGATTTTATATAATTCACAATCTTTTTCATTTTCTATCTTATGCTTCCCGGCCTGCACGAGAATTTTACTACGTTCCTCCGATAAAAAAACAAAACAGAAACTATATAAAAACCAGGAACTAACTTGTAAAAAAAAAAAAAAGAGAAGACGATTTGGTTCGAGTGTTGTATGTTTGAATAATTATCAGGTCACAAATTTAATTTTTCTTTACACATCTATTCATTAATTAAGGTTGTTAACCGCTTCTTATTACAATTTCCCGTCTTCAATTGAACATTCTAAAACGGCTAAGGCAAACAAAATCATGTATTGTAAAAAAAAAAGTTATCTTCACATTAACTGAATTATTTTGCGTTTTTTGTTGTTGTTGCAAAGATGCCGCTCTTAACTCTATTTTCCGATATTTAGTAGTGAAGCGAAGCAATGTTATACAGTATTTCATCTCACTAGGTGTTTATCAATAATCATAAAATCATTTAAGAAAGTGTACTATCACTTTTTTCCCCAAGAGATCAAGAATAACAGACCAAGATAATAAATACAGTAATAATGATAATAGTAATAATAACAATCAGCGCAATAATTGGCTAAGAGCCATTTGGTGAAAAAGAAATTTGCAGGTATGATCCCTTAGTGCAGGTATCCACCATATACTCCTTTATTTGATCATTCACAGAACGCAATCCGTTTCATTGACCAATAAATTTAGAGGTGCTTGTAGTGTATATTCCAGCCTTCTTTGTATTATAGTACTTTCAAGTGTCCATCATCGGAGAAGCACCTTAATCTTAGATAGTTTTTATAAAGTCAATACGATAACTTTCGACAACGGTGAAAAATCTGAAAGCTTTCCTCTCGTCTTATATATAATGTGGTATTCGCAGCCGTGTAGTGAAAATATCATTAAGAAGTAACACACAGTAGAGTCTTCATCATCAACTTTTTATGTCAATATTTCCTGTGTGATTTACTGATCGTCTCTGTTTACGTCTAATATCCTCGCTATTGGAAAACTTCCATTTTACTCCATTTAAAAGCGAAATATATTGTGTGGTAAATTGTGTGTTGTCAGGGATATTTCCATAATCAGTACAATCTAGCAACATTGACTCCACAGTTGTGGTACAAACTCTACGCTGGGTGGAGATCGGTGAACTGCCAGAGCCAATGCGTCGTCTGATAGAACAACTAGAACAAACGGAGATCTTCAGGTTGGTGAAGACGGACGTGGACACCGTTATTGAACACTACCAGGAGGAGTATGAGGCCACCAAACAGGTGGTGGCCAAGGTGGGACGAACATTCAGGCAAGACTTATTCAACATACGGGAGAAAATCTTCCAGATGCCCGCCGTGCAGAGGGCCGTCTACTGGTTCATCACCAACTACGGCTCCGTCAGTATTTATTACAGTAACGTTATTATATTGATTATGTATTCACCTGTTTTCCATTTTTTTTCACAGGAATGAAAAATACATAAAATTTATGGACTTGTGCAAAATAATATTTATTATGATTGGCTTAAGATGATAATATATTTGATATAGGTGTATTTGTACAAAGTCACTTTTTCTGCCTTTACTGCTGGACTACTACATTACTGTTTTTTCTGTTTCTCAGGACCGCTTTATAACTCTTGGAGTTGAACAGTTCATCAATTTCCTTCTTCAGGAAGCTAACTTCGTGTCGATAAAGACTGAAAGGGGTCACTTTAAATTAGAAATTCCGCTGCACTCACCTCTGTATTCCCTAAGCCAAGTCTTGCAAGAGGCAACACCAAATCCGATTATCATGTTTAAAAATATTGTGTGGTCATACAACACATATATCACAACTCCAGTGCAAGACGTAATCTGGGCATACTACTCGCTGATGCCCCGTCAACTGACAGACTTGCTGCCCCCTTATAACCGCACAGCCATGGTTGTTGGTGACACAGAGATCCTCACCTTTGATGGCGCTGTGCTCCGTGTACCTCGTTCACCGTGTAAGGTGGTGCTGGCTGCCTACGCCTCCAACAAGCTTACCATGGCCCATCCACAACCCTCAGCCCCACCACAGATCACCTTATCTACTCGCACAACTACCGTCACCATTAAGCCGGACTTCCGTGTTGACGTCGGCGGACAAGAGATGAGCAGCTCACAACAAACTCAGGGTGATGTCACCATTCAGAAGACGCCCCGTGAAGTCAATGTGACGTCACCCTTCATAACAGTCCGAGTGTTCCGTGAAGAACGTGTGGTATCAGTGAACGTGTCTGGCTGGACCTTCGGCCGCCTGGCGGGTCTCCTGGGTACTTACGATGGCGAAGTGGGAAATGACTGGATGATGTCCTCGGGCAGGAAGGCCTCCACCCTGCAGGAGTTGGTGTCATCATGGCAAGAGAACCAACACTGCCCAACACCCCTCATCTCTCCCGTCAATCCTGCTACCATCTCGACAGAACGGGTCGTTCAGTGTCATGCACTTTTGGAGATTCGGTCCAGGTGCTACCCACTGGTTCATCCGGAGCCCTTCATCAAAATGTGCCACATGGCCCACCAGCCCTGCGACGTCGCACAAGCCTACCGTACCATCTGCTCCAGGAAGGGGGTGAAGGATATGTTCCCCATTCCTTGTTAGGTGACAACACTTGTTATCCAATGGACTTCTTTTGATGATGAATTGCCTGTAAACTATTTTAAGTTTAACTAATTGTAACACAAGGAGAATTATTAAAAAAAATGTAATCTGCTCCAATAAAATATATGCAAGTTAATTAATGTTAACTTACCCATATCAAATTTAATTTCTTTTATATTCAGATTTTGTTTACATGCGTCAGAAATAAACATAAAAACAGTAAAATGGCGGTGGATCACCGTTTCTTACGTGCCTAATACAGAGATAGAGACATATAGTACCTCCATTACTACTCTCAGGTTCGATAACACACACAAGTAATAGTAAACTCTTATTGTATATTATTATATGTGTGTGTTCCAGCTATACCCTCTCCCACTGACATTCTTAAGCAAGCGGCACGAGTAGAGGGTTTACTCCTCCTGTTATCCGGGTCCTACATCTATACACACACTCTCCCTCAGTCCATCCTAACACTTGTTCTCTGTCTCTCTCATCACCTTTCACTCTATTATCTCTATTATTGCTGAAGTTCGACCATCTGGACTAGGTATGTTTTTTTTTCTCTCTGGGACTCTGAACTTATTTAATCCACGTGCTCTCCTCTAAACGCGGTTAGATGTCCTTTGAATCTACTTATTGCATTGGAAAATAAATTAAATATTCCAGAAACTCACCAATTTTCGAGGAAACGATCATGTTTCTATATAACAGTTTTTAACATATCAGATAATATATTCTGAAGAAAAAAGAATAGTTATTGAAGGTGTATTTAGAAATGTGACTTAAATATTTGTTGACGCGTATATGTCCAGAAAAATATGTAGTGGTGAAACATGAGTTGTTACTAAAGATTCAATAACTCATCAGTAATGTGCAACCTTGCCTAGGCCTCTAATGTGTCTTTTAGTACAGTAAAGTTTTCTTGATAAAAAAAAAATAGACAGAAAAAGAACAACATTAGTACTTCATGTTATGCTCATTACAACACTGGCGCTACAATACTTCAATCGACAGTGTTGTAATTGGTTTTTACTGGCAGACAGATTTGATTTCAGCAAGAAGGTGTCGCTCAGTTTAGTGATTGTTGTGGTAAATCTTATGAGTGGGTTCATTGGTTCAGTCAGGGGTAGATCCTTCCGGTGTATGAACATAGTTTCCAGGCCACTCTATTGTAAAAACTGTGATTATTGTCGTCATTTTTCTTTGTTTCTCTTTCCAATAGAATAATTCAAGACACACACACACTTGATCATACTTATGACCACCAATTGAATCCTTACTAAGTACGCCACATAGTAGTTCAGGATGAATTGCTTCTGTGTCTCATAAGATTTTACAAGTATGTAGACCTGACACTTCGCCATTGTTTGCCTCTCCAGAAAAGCTATTGACAGTGATCCTCAACACAGTTCTAAGTTCATGAACTATAGTAGATCAATATTCCTCGTGTATTTGATGCAAAATAATTGTCAAAATAAGCAGATCACGAAACCTGTGGATCATACCAACATCACTTTAAATTTTTCTTCAAAAGGTAGGCTCTAGTTTCCTCTGTTTACGTTGTTGACGCGCTCATAAGGTTCCAATATAAATTCAAACTTAAAAAAATCTGCTGACTGGCAATTCAATAAAGGTTATACTGTATTTATCCTCAGCGTATATATATATATATATATATATATATATATATATATATATATATATATATATATATATATATATATATATATATATATATATATATATATATATATATATAACCGATCGGAATTCTTATTGGGGTGGTTTATGGATGGTAACGCAGTGGACGGGCCCCTCAGAATAACGAATCAGCAGAAACAATATTTAGATATTTATTTTTGGTATTTACCGTGACCTGTACTGGTGATCCTGAGATTGGGGTTAAGAAGACGCACAGGTAATGGTATGACACTAGTATTAATCCTCAGGAACACCCTTACAGCACAAGACACAAATATTATCTGCACAGAAAAATAGTTGCACTGGTCCCACTGTGAGTTCACACGACCCTATAATTAACCAAGACCCGGGCACGTCCCATTACACACCGTGCATCCCAACACAATGGATGATATGGCCTCACCGGCTTAGGAAATGCTGAGGTCGAGGGTCGCTCCTCCCTGAGCTAAGTCCCGCTCTCCTCCTTTTAAAACACAACCTCTGACTGGTTCCCAACCTAGGCATTCCATCAGAAAACATATTCATAAAATATTATAAAGGTCTGAAACCCAACAACATACCCATAACCGTGTACAACGACACTGGGCCAGAATACACCATTACAGTAAATACACCACATGCATAGCACCAATAAATCCCTTAGTACCACCACGTCCAGAGTGTAAGATCAACTATGAGGGTCGTCGACCTTACACCCTTAGTTCATGAAAATGGAAGTGACTTAGTAGAGAATCAGCACAGCTACAGACGCCAATAGTTACTCTACTCAATAGTGCCATGGGAATTCCTGTCTCTCATAGCCCGTCAAGATTATAATTCACTACATCGAGTACTCTCAGTTGCATCGAGGTGCCGTTGACTCCCGTTAATTTTACTTGGGGGTGAGGCCTCAGTGTGTCAGGTCACCGTACAAACAGGTGTACCTGACTCCAGCCAGAAAAAGATGAGTTTCCCTCAGATTATATAGTTTGAGCCCCTACATTCCCCACACATATGTACACTCCTTAGCTTTGTTGCATGGTAGTCGATGGGCTTTGTACCGGTCTCAGTGGTCCATCCGCGTGCGCGTCTGCACAGCCCAAACCCTGAGAAATCAGAGTGTACCCAGCCGGTAAATCAGGTCAGCATGGTTGCTTATTCTCGCTGTTGACCTCCCTGAGAGTCGCCAGGGTCACCCTGTCACCAGCCGACGAGTTAACTTCACGAAAACCTAGAATAATCCATCCATTAACCACTATGTATACCCTTCCCTGTCCCTATCTGAGCATTGTACGTAATTGAACAAAATTTACTTGTGAGTAATGTCGAGGTAGCTCACAAGGGTAGTGACCACGTGGGGCGTTTTTCGGCACAGAGAATAACACCTCCGCCTGCCAGGGCAAGAGAATGAAAGTGACTACAAGCACTGCATACCCTCTATCAGGAACGACTTAACTTTTCTGTTTAGATCTCAAATTCTACCTTCATTGTCCTTTATTTCTTCTTCGGGAAAGTCTTTAATTTAGGACATGAATGTCCTTCACAGTTTTCCAGTGATATTATAATTATTCGTGTAAGCGCACGATATTATGCTGCTTATGTCTAAATTAATTACCAGACACAAGTCGCATCTTCTCGATGGCAAACTGTCCAAGGTAACTTTTGTTAATTTATAGTTGGTTTGTAAATTTGTCAACAGTGTATGATTTAATTTGATAAAATATATTTCTGGCTTCATTGCAGCCAGCTGTTTAGTTAGTTTCCGAGTCCTCTCAGCATATTGTTCTTAGCGAAGCGTAGAGCACCAAAGTCCTGTTTATTATTATTACACAAAAATCGCTCTAAGCGTTAGCTCTTTGCGGACCCCTTAAGAAACCCCGTGATTGTCTATACATTACCTAGGAGTCACCTTGAGGGTTCACAGGTCTGTATGACGCTAGTGGTTTTTCGTTCCTTGGAAACACTATTAATCTTCTGTACACACTAATTCCAGAAAGCATATCATGCCAACTATGAGCCTCATAATAATTCTTTAAGATGCATATGTAGAGCAAGCATTTTGGTACCTCACCCAGAGCTCCATTATACAATAGCACAGAAGGCTCAGCCTCGGACGTTGTCTCCCATATGGATTTGGTCCTGCTTTTAAAAGTTAAACTACAACATGAATCGAAAGTTCCCTTTCGCGATGTCAATTTTGTATTATGAAAATGAAGATAATATTTTATTTTAGGTAAAAACAAATCATTACTTAAGCTTCAATACCTTTTATTGGCTAAATACATTTATTTTAAGTTTTTATTACATATATTAACGATAAAATACACGAAATAATTATTCATAATTCGGCTAAGATGACAAATTCTAAAGATAGAGAAGTGATGCCTTTAACAACTAATGGGGAACAGCTCCTCAACACCTCTGCTGGAGCAGATGGTACGATAAGCATGAGCAACGTCACAGGCATCAGTGGCCGCATAGCACATCTTGACGAAAGGATCCGGATCAACCAGCGGGTAGCACCTGGATCTAATTCCAAGCAGTGCATAACACCGTACACCCCGCTGTACATTGATCCTGGTGGGTTTCACGGGAGAGATGGCGGGAGTTTGGCAGTGTTGGTCCTCCTGCCATGATGACACCAACTCCTGGAGACTTGGAGCCCTGATACCAGAAGGCATCAGCCAATCATTTCCCACTTCACCATCGTAAGTACCCAGGAGACCCGCTATGTGAGCAAAGGTCCACCCAGATACATTTACGGACACTATACGTCGCTCTCGGAATACCCTGACTGTTATGAAGGGTGACGTCACATTGACTTCAAGGGGCGTCTTCTGAATGGTGACATCACCCTGAGTTTGTTGTGAGCTGCTCATCTCTTGTCCGTTGACATCAACACGGAAGTCCGGCTTAATGGTGACGGTAGTTGTGCGAGTAGATAAGGTGATCTGTGGTGGGGCTGAGGGTTGTGGATGGGCCATGGTTAGCTTGTTGGAGGCGTAGGCAGCCAGCACCACCTTACACGGTGAACGAGGTACACGGAGCACAGCGCCGTCAAAGGTGAGGATCTCTGTGTCACCAACAACCATGGCTGTGCGGTTATAAGGGGGCAGCATGTCTATCAGTTGACGAGGCATCAACGAGTAGTATGCCCAGATTACGTCTCTCAATGGACCTGGAATGTAGGTCTCATAGCGCCAGGCCAAGTTTTCAGGTAGGACAATGGGATATGGTATTGCTGCTTGCAGGACCTGAGTCAAGGAATACAGTGGTGTGTGTAGCGGAATCTGCATTTGAATGCGAGTTTTCCCTTCCTCTACCGAAGCAAAGTTAATTTCCTGAAGGAACTGTCTGCTTAATTTCATCGTCTCCAAAAGCACCCAGTGGTCCTGAAAAAGGAATTATTTGAATGAAATTAATATTATTATTCAAGTATTGTAGAATTTTCATCCTTTCATTTATCTAATTTGATAATTTTCTTGTTCAGTCTATTTACTCCTACCTATTCATTCACTTATTTGCCTTTTGTTTTCTTTATTAAAAAATAGTGTTAAAAACATTATGACACCTTTATGATTAACGAAGAACAGGAGAACAAATCCGGTATTTTAGGGTCATGTGATTCTCTGTCATTTTAAGAATCTTGAAATATGAAAATGCCAGAAAATATATGTACTGACGGAGCTGTAATTGGTGATGAACCAGTAGACGGCCCTCTGCACAGCGGACGACTGGTAGATTTTCTCCCATAGGTCGTGTAAGTCTTGCCTGAATGTTCGTCCCACCTTGGCCACCACCTGTTGAATGGCCTCATACTCCTCCTGATATTGCTCAATTATGGCGTCCACGTCCCTCTTTACCAACCTGAAGAACCTCGTTCGTTCCAAATGTTCCATCAGGCTAAGCACAGACTGTGGCAGGTCGCCGGTCTCCACCCAGCGTACAGAGCCTTCCACAACTATGGAGGCCACATTCAGACATTAACAATGTTTGTGTAGATTAAAAAAAATAAAATCACTAGCAAGATTTTGATGATGACAATATATATACACATACCTGTATATATATATATATATATATATATATATATATATATATATATATATATATATATATATATATATATATATATATGTTTTTTTTTATGTGATGGGATGGGGTGGGATGGTAACTAGAGATAATTGCCGATTAAGCCTTAAAAGGCAACTGGAGTTTTTGGCAAATATTGATAGCTTTTTGTTTTTGTTATAATTTAATGGAAATTAATTCGTATATTTTAAATTTTGCTGTCTTACTAACTTAAGATAGCAAAATTTTACCTGGTGTAGATTTGGTAAGGTTAGGTAAGATTAGGCTAAGTTAGATTATGTCGGTTATATCAGGTTTTTCATGATACTATTCGTTTATATGTGTAACTGTGATTTACAACACCGTTTATGGCTTGTCAAAAGTTTTCCAAAAAGATAAACATAGAAGTTATAGCTAATCGAAGATTATCTCTAATTATTGTAACACATAATATATTTGAATTGGTTTATACGTTACACCTATAAGAACAAAAATAAAATTATCTTTTTTAAGGACGAGTTACAGAAGTAAATAGAAACTTGAACCACAAATCATACCTTCTATGATGATCTGAGAGAAATTGTCGAACTGTTCCCTCAAATAAGTTAATTTGTATAGGAAATCATCTACGAGTATCTCCTGTGCTCTGGCCAGGCCTGCCAGTATGCTGGAGAAATAATGTGTTATGTAGGAGAATGTAGGTGACACGATCTCCCAGAGAGCCTCATACTGAGGGATAACTTCACCATAAATCAGACCATCATATATTTGTTGGAGGTCAAGTTTGGCTTCGCTCATCAACTTGAGGATCTCGGGGTTAGGGAAGTGACTACCTTGTTGCTGAGCTTGTTGTTGCAGGTACTGATATATACTGTTAACCCACCGGTCGAGAGACTGCATCACTCGTTGATACTTTTCATTGACATCATTCTGTAAATAAAGTTTGGTTTTAATAAGCATTTAGTTTTGCACTGAACACCATAGTAAATTTCATTAAATACATGTGATTATGTTTGTAAATGTGTGGGGAGAGGGGGTGACGGATTGTGCGTTTACCACTGTATTTGTCACTACTATTTTTCAGAGAAATTGAGAACTTTAGTATCAATATGAATTAGGTGATTATTAGGTCCTCCAAGTAGTTACTGGGGCTATTCATACCGACTAGGACACTACCGTATGAGGGTATACGCCACAGTAGAGTGGTGTCAGCGTTATGCTTCTGACATGCTCACTTGAGTAGTTCCAGACAATTCCATAACTTACTCCAGGGTACCGAATTACCCTTACATCACTTCCTTCATTTTTTACACTCATCGTCATGCACACGCTGAGTTGAGGCTCAGACTCTCTTTAGCCTCCCCAGCACATAAACAACCACACATTCTCTCCGTCACTCTTCCCATGTCTAAAGCTGTGACTCCGGCTCCGTCACAAGAATTGTGTATGCCATTTAACCTTATATAAATATTAAATATTAAGAAAACTTTGTATAAATCATAATTCGCTCATCATTCCTCTTAAAATTCCGATAATATCTGATAATGTGAATAATCATTATATAAATATTACATCTCATAACAAAGATGTTATTTCCAGCATGTGTTATTAACATAAACATAAAATAAAACATAAAAAAATTCCTGTCACTCACCATGACGACGGTAACCTGTTCTTTCTCGTAAACAAAATCAAGATTGACCAAGACGGGTGAAGTAAGCTTTAAGCGCGTCATGGCAATGGCGCGTCTCTCTTCTTGATCCTTGTCACCCACAGATAAACTGGCCTCAATATTATTGGGTGTTTGGAAGCCGAACTTTGTGATGTACTCTTCTTGGCTGCCTCGCTTGGTGGTTATCAGCTCAATGAAGGCTGGTCTACACAGTCTTGAGTAAATGTCATAAGTACCGAGGACAGAAGTGAGAGCCACGGCCTTGATCTTGACGCCGGTACACTCAGGAACTTGCTCTGGCTCCATCACTCCAGCTATGTCCACCACGGGGCCTTCCTCGGTCACCACGCGGAAAGCTGCTGTTGCATCTTTATCAGTGACTCGGTCGTACTTGGCCGACATTTGGAAGGATACTGGTGAAGAGGGAGCCTTCTGGAACATGAGGTCAAAGCCAACCGTATGGGGAGCATAGGCCGTCACTATGATGAACTTGGGGCTCACCTTCAGACTCTGGAAGAGGTAGGTCATGGCATTCTTATAGTGGTATATACAGGAATATAAGATAAAGCTGTGAGTTATAATCATAGATAAGTTTATAAACAGAGATAAGCTTACAAACTCACCCTAGAAGTTAATGAAGTTTCCACCCTAACGGTGTTGTTGGCGACCAAGGTTGACTGTAAAGTGCCTGTTATTTTGTCAGCTGTGTCAGGGAAGATGTCCAACTCAATGGTGCCTCTCATGTTCTCTCCAGTGACCGAGTACTGAACCTCTACTCGTATGTCCCTGGTCAGACTTGGGTGGCTAATATGGCCTTCAAACTTGGACTCTTGATCCCAGTATGTGTGGGAGGACCTTCCAGTTAACTCGTATTTGGCGTTACTCTCTCTCTTGTTGGGATATACCTTGACACTTGCCTCTGTGGGAGAGTATGTAGCTTCACCCTCTATGGTGCGGGTTGGATACTCAACTTGCATAGTGTAGGTGGTGGGTGTGGACTTGTGGTACCGGTAATGATAAAGCTCTCTCTCGGGACGTTCTATCAAGAGGTTCTCATAACCCTGTCCTTGTCTTCCTACCATCTTCACAATAGCTCCCAGGAAGTTATGGATTGCTGTGGCGTCAAATGCAGAATCAAAAACCTTGACACCTCCCGCAGGATAAGTGTCCAGTTGCCATCTAAACATGGTGGCTGGAGTGTCCACGCCCGCCTTCCAGATGACGTTGTATGAATTGTCTTTGGTGGATGACAAGAACTCTACCTGTAGAGGTCTCCTCATACGCGGAGTCGATGTAACACTCTGGAGAAAATCATATAATGTTAATATATGTCCAGTCATCAAAGCAGAATCCTGGTTGGTTTCATGCACACAAGATGAAAGTGTTAAATTTTTAGAGGTACAAGATAATATATTCTGATACTTGCTCTTATAGTAAAAATATAGCAATCTCCTCACACTGAACATTTTCCCAAGTATTATATCATTAGGTGCTCTCTTAAGATATTCAGCTCAAGTGATATAAGAGTAATCAACGCACTTATTTTACCTTAAAGTTTATGACACGTTCTACAGTTGTTCTCTCGTACTTAGCTTCTGTTCTCAGAAGCGTTTCCTGACCTTCTGATGACGTGAAGCTCAGCTGAGACTGAAGTTTGTAGCTGTATGGGTTGTCAAGAGCTTCCAAGTCCATGACACTAACAAACTTGTACTCCTTATTTTCCAGGTTCTTGTATCGGAGACGAGTCTCTACTGTAAAGGCATTATGTTGCTCTTCAACTCTATTCCTCATCTCAACGACAAGCGTCTTTTGAGAGGGGGTAGTTACTTCCAAATTGAACTCGCTTTCCCGCTGGGAATTGGTTAAGAAGTTGATTGCAGCGAGGTCAGTTTTGACGTGGTAGGTCTGCGACATCCATTGAACAGTTCCCCTGATATAAGGCATGGAAGATTACTATTCCCGATAAAGCAAGTTTTAATTCCGATTATGAATATCACAAACAGAAGACATAGTGAGGTTAAATCAAAAGAAATAAGCAGTTCAAAAAGTTATAGGTAGTTTAAAAATCTGATTCTTACTTATATACCAATACTTATGTGAAAAAATCTAGCAATCTTGACTAGTTTTGCTCACACGCTAAATGATTTTTAATATTTATACTTACTGGTAGGAGGCATGTCCTGGGTCGACTGGGCTGGCCATATAGTGACCATGTGCCTTAACTCTCTTACTGGAGTCACTGTCTGCGTCCCAGGAGAAGTCCAACTTGACACTCCTGTGCTCGAAATCAAAATCAACATAACTTTTCACCCTGCGATGGGAGGAACTCTGCGGGAATAACACATTATCAGCATTGACCATGATGACCCTCTCGCCAAGGATAATATGAATTTTGCTCTCCATCAGTACGGGCAACAGGAACTTAAAGTCGATGGTTGTCTTCCGAGGACGCGATTCAGACATCATATTCCATTCTGCTGACAAGACACGTTGTTGTTTAGCCTTCACATCTAAGGCAACCAACAGCTCATGTTCAGAAAGTATGAAAGTGGAGTTAATACTGTAATATGTACTGTCTATAACTTGAAACTTCATGTTAGTCTGTATGTTGATTATCTGCGAGGTTAGCCTGAGTGTGAGTGGTCCTATAACATGGAGAATGACGCTCTCTCCGTGCTTGAGGGCAGCTTCAACCATGTAACTATCCTGTCCCTGCTCCACCACCCGGCTCTCGAACTTGATGGACCTAATCCACTCCGGCATCTCCACCTATGGAAAACGAGAGACTTAAAACATGATCGGTTTCAGCATTTTCTATATTATTATCGTTTTAGTGACTTTGAATAGCAGACAAAGAAGGAAAGCAGTAAACACAACCTGGCTCTCACAACTTTGTTCCTGTACAGAGACAAATCTGTGAGTGAATGACATATTATTATTATTATTATTATTTTTATTATTATTATTATTTTTTTTTCGGGGGTCAGACACATAAATGCAACAAAAGAGAAATAGAGAGAGAGAGAGAGAAATCCGAACGAAAAAAGGGAAAGCCAGACACAAATTGAAAATCATGTTTGTATTCTGCTATGTACCAAAGGTCATAAAACACAATGTTACATTATAAAACACATATATCTACATTTCAAAAATATTTAGATTGGGTGAAAGTCTTCGGAGAAACGAAATAATGAAGAAAATCTCTAGGCAGGCACTGTTAACCTCTACACACCGTCTGTATGCCTACAACTTGAGTTAATTTGTGGCACCAAAACTTAGGGTAAGCTTCCACGAATACTAACTGATATTCTGGTGTCCACTGTGGTCCCAGATCGGGTGTTCAGGGCTTCAAACTCCATGATCTTGACCCTGTCCTCGGAGAGCATCAGTTGAGCGGTTACCCCCAGCTTGTCTCTGCCGTAGTAGATATCACTGGAAGTCTTATATTCCGCTGTGCCTATCTTGACTGCAGGGGAATTATAATAGGCTGAATTTCGTTATCATCATTATCAATAAAATTACTTTTATTAACTTATCATTCAGATTAAATGCTTCTCAATTGCATTTAAGTATCGCGACATACGTATATGGAAATAAATATAGCAGATCAGAACACACCTCAACCAGCCAGGATTCGAACCCACGGCCCACGAGCCCATGACTGTGACCGGGAACGCTAACCGCTGGACCACCAAGACACTAAAATCAGCCTTAGACTCTGTTATATTTCACACAAGGCCTGTTCAACGAGCTTATGGCGCCGTGAACCTCTGACTCTGACCACCTACGTGATACGGGTAGTCCCCATTAGAGGTTCACGGCGCCATAAGCTCGTTGAACAGGCTTTGTGTGATATATAACAGTCTAGGACTGATTTTAGTATCCTGGTGTTCCAGCGGTTAGCGTTCCCCGGTGCGTTCCCCGGTCACAGTCATGGGCTCGTGGGCCGTGGGTTCGAATCCTGGCGGGTTGAGGTGTTGATTGTATGTAGAAGTCCGCGTGTTTATCGGTCTTATGAAATAGATTACCTGTAGCAGCTGTCTTTACTACCAAGTTATGGCCTAGTCTTCCCTCCATAGACTGGGTGGCGTTAACAGAAATTAGATCTTGGTTCATATACATAATCTTGAAGGCAGATGTGTGTTCAGCTGTCTCGCCTGAGTCTCTTGTTTGACGGATAAAGGACGTAACATGCCAGCCTCCCAGACTACTCTGGAACTCAAACTTGCGCAACTTAGTTGGTAGAAGCATGGGGTAGTACCGGGTGTACCTCAGGTCAAGCCCAACTGCGTTAAAAAACGCAAAATATGTTACAATCATAAATTAAATAAAGGTTTTTAGTAAAACCGAGTTAAGTATATATCAAAACGTTTTTTAATCAAACAAAGCCTATTATATTAATGCTCCAAAAAGAGAAGAACTTACTTTCGAAATTAAAGTCAAGGTAGCGGCTCAGTTCATTCTTTGTTTGGGATAGAATATCGAAAGAAACTTCAGGACCATTAAGCTTCATTACAAATTTGCTCTCCATGATTTGTGATTCAAGAGGGAAATTCCTGTTTCGACTGCTGTACATGCTGAATTCGTACTCCTCCTCAGACGATGTTTTTCTTGTCTTGAGATCTAATTTAATTCCTCGAGATATTGTTGTGTCACTGGAATTAAAGTTAACAAAAGCCTCGACGCCCCTATGGTCTTCTCTGTTGACGATTGTGACCCAGAAACCACTCGTAACCGTAGAAGATCGTATTCTAGCAGAGACAATGAAGGATTCCTCTTGCTCAGTGAAGGACAATGTTGCTTCAACTTCTCTTGGTGGGGATGACCCGGGTGTTGCTACTTTCATTGTTATGAGTTTGCTTCCTCTCTTGTTCTGAGTGGCGGCAGACAGAAGATAACCTTTCATAGAAGACTCTGCCTTCTTAATGTAAAGTTTGATAACAGCTGGGGCTCCCAGTGGCAAGGAGTTACTGCGGAAGATATCGGGAACGTCCACATCATAACAGAGCCTGAGACCTAACACTGGTTCGAGACTGTTGATACACGATTGACGTTTCACTCTGGCGTCCCCCATGGATGGTGGAATGATCTTGGTGTCTGGGCTGCCCCTCACGCTCTTCATCAGGTAAGTCTCACTCTTCACATTAATAAGTTCCATCTTCTCAGGAAGATCCAGTTCAACCTCCAACTCTTCACTGTTCTTGGCCCTAAGAGTGAGGGAAACACCGTTGCTGCTGGAGATGGTGTTGGTCGTCTTGATTCCTGTTCTAGCGATATAGCTGTCGTAGCCGACGAAGCCATCTACTTGGACAGAAAGACTAGGAATGATCTTGAAGAGGGTCTCCCCATTCCTCCAGTTAGAGAGGATGTCAGCGAGGTTAAGGTTTCCTTGCATCTTCAGTCCAGCAACAGCTGTTCCATTCAGCTGAAGTTTGAGTGGTGTGCCCTGGATGGTGGGGAAGGTGTATTCAAAGTTTATCTGAGCTGTTCGTGCTGAATTGATGTGCAAGTTCTTCATCTGAGGAAGAATGTCATCGAAGTATGAGAAGAAGCTTTCAATCATTGTATCAGCACTGATGTGCTTCAAGTCTCCAGCTAATGAAGCAAAGGTTATCTCCTGACCCATGAAGCGAGCGAATACATCAGCTTGAGCCACAGTCGATCTCTCGCCTCCATAAATCTTGCTGAAGAAGTGAGACAGAGTAGAGAAGTTGATGGATCTCTTTTGTCTTAATAAGTTCTGGAAGTGCTCCATGATGTTGCTCCCTTCTTGTTCAACAAATGTAGTTATGTCGGTTAGAATTTGACTGAAACTAGTTCTCTGCAGGTAACCTTCAGGTCCAAACACCTCCTCGATGACAGGTTCTAGACCCTCAAGTCGGACACCAACCTCGCCAATGTTCATTGAAATTCCCTCTAAGGCGGCAGTGAAGTTGAAGTCAACGGAGCGAGGCACAAAGGACCCAGGGACGTAGATGATGTTGGATTCAACGCCGGCACCAACACCGAGAGACGGGGCGAAGTAGGACATGTCTATGTTGCGGGAATATTTCCTGAAGTCTGTTTCAAAATCTCTTGGAAGGACAATACTGGACAGAAGGTACCGAAGGTTTTCCTTCTTAGGATCATCAGACTGCTGGAGGTTGAGGAGATGACTCAGGATGAATCCACGAACTAGAAAATGTGTATAAACAAATTAGTGAATAATATTACTGATTGAGCATCATACAATTTATTCTGGATTAAACCTACTTAATAATGAACAAAAAGGCTGCTTCCTTACCTTGGGTATTTTCTTCATTTGAAATCTTTGCAGCAATTTCTTGCAAGTCCTTTTGCTCAGCACATCGAATACCAATAAGGTAAGATGAAATACGAACCTCAGCGTTCCTATCAGGATCAACTGTTACCCTCACAAGTTGCTCAGTTATCTGTAAAGATAATTGGAAATGGGTTACATCAGCCTGACTGCCAGTTAGGGGTAGTGTGAATACATTTCACTGTGCATTAAGTCTTTGGTATACAATAAGACAGTACAACCAACAATGCACCCAACCACCATTACTTCCCCAACTGAAACGTTCAGATTCAGATTTTCCCAACTCACTGCGGGGCCGATAGATAACCATTCAAAGGTAAGTGAACTGGGGATGCCATGGGATGCTCCAGTGACCGTTAGGGCAGGAGGTGGGAGCTGTATCCACTGCACCCTATGTATTTAGAATTAAGAAAACAATAATTCAAAAATTCAAAAAGGAATCATTCATGTAGTTTCACTGAAATCCTCAAATATCACTTACATGGTGTTGACATTTCACTTGTCTGAAGGCTTGTACGGCGGCCACACGGACATTGATCTTGACTCCTTCTGTATCCACACACGTCATCACAAACCTGGCTACCTCCTGGGTCATCACTCCCATGTTACCTAGAGCCTTGAGTGTTGCCAGGGCAGCTTTTTGAGTCCGTTCATCAGCAGAAGGAGAACACTGGCGTCGTAGTTTATTACCCAAAGCTTCAACAAGACTCTTAACCGGTGCTTCTTCATAACAATGATGATTGTGGCGACAGTAAGTGTTGACCATGGAGGCAGCAGCCAGGGTGGCGCGTGGCAGAGGTTGGGAGGATTCGAACATTGGTTTCAGAGCCATCATGGCATGGATACATGGGCGGGGTTGAAGATAGAAGGCAGCAGTGTAAAGTGCAGCGCGACCTACTGTAGCCCGGCCACTCACCAGCTCATCCACCATAACCTTTACAGCACCAGATTCGTGGATGAAGGAAACAGCGTCCAGGAAGAGGCTTTCGAGTTTGCTGTGGTCTTGGCAGTAACGTCCGGCACGAATTTTGTCCAATGTTTGTTTCACAGCTTCCTCAGGTACACGACGCAGGAGCTGCACAGCCTTGGCCACCAGAGCAGCAGCATCACGCTCAACAAAATCTTTAGTCTTCTCACAGATCTGAGTCATGGTTTGATCCAACTCGGCTACCATGGACGGGTCCTTGTTGAGCGTATGGTAGCTATACCGGAGACTCTTGCGGACCAGACTACCTTGAGGGATGGCAGGTGGTTGTTGGCTGGATAGTGAGACGTATCGCAGTGTGGACTCCTGTTTGGCTTCAACATACTTATAGGCACCATAGCTGGGGCGGACCACTTTCTTATCCTCACAGATGATGGAAGAGTAGATTCCATTGGTAATCTCTTGTTTACATCGAGACTTGGACTCTTCCAGTGGGAGAGGACCTTTGAGCCAAGGGACCTGGGTCTCGGCAGGGGTGGGGTAACGTTCCTTACACAAGCTGTGATTCTTCTCCTTCTTCACAATAACCTTGTCTCCTTCTCTCTCTACCTCGTAGTGTGTTGGGCACTTTCCTACCACGTCCGTCTGTTGAGATTCGTAAAATTTTAGAGAATGTTATTGAAAGTAACGCTCTAAGATTAATTCATGAGTACATTTAGACTCAACGTTTTCATGTAAACCATTAATATTTCAATAAGAAATCTAATTTTAGCTTAAATTAATAATGTAAATTTAGAAATAATGACATTGCTATATAAGGTTCATTTTATGCATTTATTTAACTTGCATTGAGTATTAGAGATTGATTTTCAACAGTTTTTCAAAATTCATTTCCAAAGCAGAGATTTACAGTTTACACCTACAGAGAGTAATTGAAATATGAACACAGTCTCCGGCAAGTGAAGGAATATATGAGACACTACAGGAGGGCCGTGATACACTTCAGACAAGACACCGATCATAGCCCAGTTTTTAACTCCCATTTGAAAGCTGCATTTCCGATGTTTAATTCATATTAATAAGGGATTTAGGGGTTCGACATTACCTAATATCCAATGGTATCAGTTGCATTCCTTAAAATTCATGTTTGACTTAAAATATTATCTTAGAAAAAAGTGTTAATATCGTCCCTGACTTATACAGTTATGCTCCTGACACCAAATTTCCCTGAAACCGACTTCGTATAATTTGAGGTGAAGTTTGAGCAAGGTGCCCTAACTCTGCCATTGTCTTAACCTTTCCTCAGTAACTCTATCTACTTGGATTCAATGGTCTTATAAATATAATGTGTCACGATTTGTTTTCAGGCAGCGGCGTCTCCATACCTGTTTTACCCTTGCGTTACTAAGTCAAGTTGTCCTACACTGAGCTGCTCTTATAAGCTGAGAATAACTGGCCATTCTCATAACTTGAAAATTTTACTGTCTTACCTAGTCTTTTTGTCTTACCTTACTGCCTTATCTTATTGAACTTAGACATCCTTTAAGAAACATTATGAATTTTATTTAAGGAAAGGAATGCTAAAAGACATGACGTGGTTAGTAGTATTATATGTCTTAGAAGCCTAGACAACCTCAATAGACACCACAAGAAACGGTAGAGCTTCAAAATGCAATGCCAAGTTACAGAAAACTATGTTTTTTAGATGAAGCGCATATTTAATTAAAAAAAAGATGAGGATGCTTTTTATTTACATTTTACTCAATCACAACAGCTTCATTCTACACGAAGATAAAATTATTAAGAAAAGAAACAAGAAAATACAAGAAAATGAGCCATCCGTTTTTATCTAGGAATGTTTCGTAATGATCTCACCTCAGTGATGTTTTGTCCTGAGTTGATGGTAGAATTAGAAGGAAGTGAGTTCTGGAAGGCTGAGGCGATGCCCTTCTTGATGTTGATGGACCAGACGTCATCTTCAGGATGAGTACACACATGCTGAACCCGGCCGTCGGTCAGGGCCACCACCAGCGGGTACTTCTCCAGGAACTTGGCAGCGGGCGGGCCTGAGAGGACCAGTAGTTAGTATATCTAGTGTCAGTATTAGGAAGTAGTAAAAGCAGCTGCTACTATCGGTATTAGTACCATGTATGATGATAAACATTACACTTACCTGCGGCACCATCCACCTTGGGGTCCTTAATGAAGATGACCATGTCACAGGGGGTGATCCATGATAGTTCAACTCGTTTAGACCAATCCGTCTCTGTGACTCCACCTTCCACGCCTTTCAGGTGGATCTGGGACTTTCCGGAGTAGGTGTAGGTGTAGGTGTGTTCTGGCTGGTAGAAGAGTTTGGGGGAGCCGGCGACGGGGCATTCCGTAGAGCATCTGGGTGTGTTTCCTCCCCATGGTACTGGTGGTGAAGGCCAGAATAAGGTTCAATAAGCGCGAATCTTTCGTTTTATAATAATAATGTAATTATAAACTTGTTGAGGGAATGTGGTATCTTGAAAGGAACGGGAAATCTGCTGAAATATTTTTTACGGTTCCATTTATGAAATATTTACTGTCATTAATTTTCTTGAGGTTCATCATATGATTTTTTTTTTAGAAAATTATGAAGATAAATCTTATGTGTTGGGACTTCTTCCCATGAACATTTGAAACAAGATCTATGTATAACCTTAGATCTTCGTAAAACGTTGGGATGTAATCAATGACTTAACTCCATGAGTACGATGGTCTAGACACTCTAGATCTAGAGTCTAGACTCTAGAATGACTATATAATTTCTACATACTTTGATTCATATAAATTTTAATATTTATTACACTGGCGATGATATAGTGCATTGAAAAAAAAATCTTAGCAGCAAAATTCCTTTGGTATCGTACAAAGTTACTCAAATCGGCTGGTTTTTAACTAACTGTTGATTTTTTTTAGTTCGCCAGTATTTATAAACTCAGGACAACAGAATTTTTTCAATTTTTCCTCTAACCTACTAAGTACCCAATCACGTGCATTCTTACATCTGCAGTTGCTTTCACCGTTAAAGGAAGATGTCAGAGTATATAAACTAATTGTGTTGAGGTTCAAGAGTGCGTCCTAGGAGACAAACAAACACAAAAGTTATCAAGAATTAGCCAAAAGCTGGTGAAAATTTTTATTAATTTATTCATTCATGTTGAGACTGTAGGTGATGGGAGGGTGTGAGGTGATGCGGAGGTTGTGAGGTGATGGGGAGGGTATGATGTGTTGGGGGAGGTGTGTGAGGGTGATGGGAGGGTGTGAGGTGATGGGAGGTTGTGAGGTGATGGGGGAGGGGTATGATGTGTTGGGAGGTGTGTGAGTGTGATGGGGGAGGTGTGTGAGGTGATGGGGAGGGGATGGGGAGGGTGTGTGATGTGTTGGGGAGGGTGTGAGGTGATGGGGAGGGGTGTGGGGTGATGGGAGGGTGTGGGGTGATGGGGAGGGTGTGAGGTGATGGGGGGAGGTATGAGGTGATGGGGAGGTTGTGAGGGTGATGGGGAGGGTATGATGTGTTGGGAGGTGTGTGAGGTGATGGGGGAGGGTGTGGAGTGATGGGAGGGTGGGCTGATGGGGAGGGTGTGGGGTGATGGGGAGGGTATGATGTGGAGGTGTGTGAGGTGATGTGTGAGGGTGATGGGGGTGTGGGGTGATGGGAGGTGTGGGGTGATGGGGAGGGTGTGAGGTGATGTGTGAGGTGTGCAGGTGATGGGGGTTGAGGTGATGGGTAGGGGTGAGGTGATGTGAGGGTGGAGGGTGGGAGGGTGTGGGGGTGATGGGAGGGGTGTGGGGTGGGGTGTGGGGGGGTTGGGTGATGGGAGGTGTGTGGGGTGATGGGAATGGTGTGAGGGTAATGAGGGGGCGGGGGTGAGGTGATGGGGGAAGGTGTGGGGTGATGGGAATGATGTGAGGTAATGTAGAGGGGGGGCGGGGTGAGGTGATGGGGAGGGTGTGGGCCTGTGGGGTGATGGGAATGATGTGAGGTAATAGAGGGGGGGGCGGGGTGAGGTGATGGGGAGGGTGTGAGGAGTAAAGAGTGAGACTCACCTGCACCAGCACCCACCAAAAGGGCGAGGGCGAGGAGAGCTGCGGAGGTGGTGGTCATGTCGACACAAATGCGACACCACAACTGTGCTCCACCTCCGGTTTTCACCTTCTTATATAGACATCGCTGACTCACGCACCCTGGTGGCCGATGCTGTCCCTGATTTGGGGAGTTTTGTTAGCATGCGATAATAGCTGACAACCGTGATGATGGTGTGTGTTAATTGATTACTGTAATATTCCGAAGGTTTGTGTCGTTAATTGATGAAGTGTACAAATAAAGGCTATAATACTGAGAGTGAATTGCGTTTAACTTTGTTAGAAAGACAAGCACTGGTAACATGAAGAAGGATATAGAGGTTGAGAAGTTATAGGGAAATTACGGGAATATAATTAATTAATTGGTTATGTATGAATCAGAACAACAGCTTTAGGATAATGATGTAAAGAATGTGCTCTTACACCTTCTATGTACGAACAAATAGCTATTAATGTTATCATAATATATATATATATATATATATATATATATATATATATATATATATATATATATATATATATATATATATACTGTATATACAGTATATACATCTATACGATGGTAAACGATGCCTTCTATGTAACAGAACAAATTTAATTTCACCATATAGGTATTAATATCGATTAAATTGTAGCGAGAAAAACAAAAAGTTATCCCTAATTGATAAAAAGTATCAGTTGTTTATCTATTACACCATGGAAGCTACGAGGCAACACAAGGCGTCGTTATACTACGTAGTCGTGGTGCCACAACCACAGGCTGAGTGGGATACTGTAGGTATATCTCTTCCTACAGTATGGTATGGATATCTAAGAGCCAGTTGTTGTGTTTTAGGACAAGTGGATAGTGATATAGCAAACTCATACCGGAAATCGATTATATATTGCCTCTTCAATGGGGATTCTATTCCATGACTCAAGACGTTTCTGTAAATCCTCCGCCAACGTCCCCACAAACGCTGTACTTGAGGTGATAAAAAGTAATGGACAAAGGCGAAGGAGGCGTGGGGGTCTGGGAGTCCTGGACCTCCCAGTCAACCTTTGGGTCAATTGCAAAAAATAATAAAAATGGAGGGAAAACTATTATTTACCCAAAAGTTGAAGTAACTATTTTTAAAACTCAGCACTCACCTTGCTTGTATCAGCTTAGCCCTTTAATTTTCGCGCAGCCCTACCCTAGAAAAATTCCTGCAGGCGCTAAAGAGCTGCTCAATAATTTTCGGTTATAGAAGAGTCGGTCTAAGGCAAGGGTTGAATGGATGAAGGCGGCATCCACTGTGTATACAAGTTACCACAACCTCTCGTGAACAAAACCTGGTTACAGATAAATCTGCTGGATTAGTACTATTGTTTTATTTATGACGCACATTATAGGGGGACCAACTCATCAATACTCATATATCACACAATATACAAATTATATACAATGTAAAATTACAGTTTTACTGGACACTAAACATTATTAGCTAAGTATATGTTTGTCGGCTCTTCATTTTAATTTTAACTTGTAATTTTGCTTTGAATTATTTTCCTACATATGTGTACCTCACTTGGAAGTACTTCTCTGCAACTACTTTAATTTAAAAAAAATAAGTGATTTTCTAATGGATGAGGCTTATACATATGCTCCGATAAATTGGAAAATATTGCATTGGAAGTGTAGTGCACTAACACTGAGTAAACAAGTTCGTTACAATCTATTCTTGTTAATGTCATATCAAAAATTTTAACAACTGCTATCTCTTGTCTAGACACTTTTTCACAGCAAACACAGGTGTCTATGACATCAGCTGAAGGGAAAATCAGGCCCCCTTTGAATTTGAATTTAATCAAGGAATATATAAAGCCATCAGTATTGTCAGTTAAGGCATCAATACAAACTTCACAATGTAGATATGTTTTCAATTTATGTACAGTAAAGTCAGCACTAGTACGTTGTTGGAGCAGGGTTATAAATGGCCATCAATAGTAACGTATATATAATAATTATCATCGTCATGTGGGTAAATTACATGCTCTCGTTCATTATCTAGGACCCTATTTTTGCAAGGGTAGCGTTGATAGCGTTTGCATAGGGAGACAGATGCTAATGGTAGACTGTTTCCACCAAGTACATCTATTATATCATTATACACCAACATTTTTTTTTATATGCAGCGGTAACCTGCCTACACGTTGCGTTATTATTACAGCCTCCCCAAAAACAGTTCTATATGACCTTCAACTCATTTTTTATGTCACTAGAAAGTTTAAACCGGGATCAGGATATGCAACCAAATTTGTGGTAGGACTTCAACAAAGGAAGACCATCAACAAGCTTCAGTGACTTAATGTAGGTTTTAGTTTCTTTCCAGAACTGTGTAACTTCATTAGCATTCTTATCATGAATTGAACATTTATAGATAGTAGAACACAAATTTATTTAACTGGGTATATCAACGAATGTATTAAAACCTAAAATTAAATTATTAGTTGTTTCACGCTCCTTAAATTCATGAATCTGTTCAAGACAAAACTGTATAGATTTTGCGACAAATTCACTAAGTAACTGCGCTGCTAGCTTGATAATGATTTATTTTCTTGAATCGTGTAATATGTCCACTTTTCAGTTTATTGCCTATATGTAATCCATCACGCTTTTATAGTTTGTGCAACTGCTCAACAATTCCCATTTCATATATAGTAAACTACCCTGGCCATCATTAATGATTTTTTTTATTATAGGAAGAATTTTTGACAAGCTTTAACATATTACAAGCATCGAGATATACACTGACCGTGACTGATGCCCTGGCGCGGCGCTCCTCGCTCAGTGGGCGCACTTGTAGTGAATGCTGCCTCCTCCCATATTTTAGAATATATATATATATATATATATATATATATATATATATATATATATATATATATATATTTCTGAGAGCAAGTACTGTAAACTAAGAGAGAGAGAAATGAGCAAATCACAGTGACCCTGGGGCTGCATTCTCAAAGGTTTATAAGTGGGCATTCCTCTTAAACGATGATGTAAGAATGAACGTAACTGATAAACTTAAGACAATGTTCATAAAACGTTCAGAACTAGAGTTACCATGAAACTGATACTCTACCTTAACTATATACAGTACGTTGACTTCATATAATTTAGGGGATGATATCAAAGTAAATAACGTATTCTCATAAATCTTGTACTTAATTTTCTCTCCTAACTTTTGTCAGGTGAACATAATCATCTGGTAAAGTTATTTGACGTTATTTATTGATGTTCCTTATGCGTTTTAACTTAAGTCAACTAGTCGGTGGTACACTCTTAACATACAGTATTTAATAAAAAAAATTAATCGTTGCGTGAATCTTTGAGAGTCCAGGATGTGGCTAATATATAGAAAACACGTAAAGCTAGTTATATATTGCAATTACGGTAACTTCAAATTTTCCGTTATAGTTATGCTGTAATGCTAATGTAACCTATATAAATGTGAGGAGGTTAGATATTTTGAAGCAAATCGTCGAGTGAACTTTTTTTTATTATTAATATTTGTGTCATTCCATAAGATTTACGAGTATTCATGCAGAATAAAATATGTTGGAAGGTAGCTCTACTTCAGATTCATAACTAAACCTGTCGACAGGTATTACCAGTTTACAGTACAGTAAACTTCATTGCTAACCTTTACCTTTCAAAAATCAACACTCATTTGCACTTTTTTGATATCATTATTTGCTGATATACGTTTTCAGTCTCAGGTATCTTAGTTCGGTGATTTCATTATCACACAAACTTTAATCTACATAGACTTGGGACCTGTGAATGAGCGGGCAATTTTCAGGGATAAACAGGTGCATTACCTTATCTCCTGGGGAGGTCGATAATGTTCCCTCCTCAGACACCACCCAAGCAAGTTTAGGAGTGTCCACCTTGCCACACTCTAGATAATACACCTGTGCCTATCAGCCTGACCATTTCAAGACCAGTTGCAAGCTGTTATGTCTGATGCGTAGAGGCCACACTGACGAGCAAAGTCTCCTTATGTGTGACGACCACCTCCACGATATACCTGGGGCCCTGAGTGTTATTGGCTCAGGTTTCTCCTAGCTTCTTCCTAGGGCCTCCATGGTCGATGTATAAATGGAATAAGTTTCATTTAATGTCTGACGGCCATGCCTACAGTTTGTCAAGACTCTCCGGGTGGTATAAACTCCTCCTCTGCTCCACCTGTTCTTGTGGTATGATTCTCTTCCTTGGTATAGCTCTAATTGAAATGCACTTGTGTGTTTCTTCTTTTTCATTTACAGTAACATCCTGTCGACCGTTTATCGAAGGCCAGTATTCATACTACCAAATTTGTGTGTCAAAGGAGTAAATTTAGACAAAATATTAAGCTATTCAGTATACGTCAATATCATTACATATTAACTAAGGTAACGTTTTGAATCTTATGTATAAAAACGAGAATTGTTTCGCTTTTCGATTCCCAGCTTGATAAAGAAATTCCTGTCTCTAATTAGCCTCAAGTTCAATGTTTGTACTTTCTGAGTTGTTTGTGCGTCTGGTGTGTGTATATATATATATATATATATATATATATATATATATATATATATATATATATATATATATATATATATATATATATATATATATATATATATGCAAGTAAATCACTGTAGTTGCGCGTGATCCAGGTATATATGCTGATAACCACAAGGAAAGAAGAAAACACGAAGTTCCCAAGCGCTTTCGTGTAATTCACATCTTCAGGGGTGAGTACAGACTAAGGAGAAGTACAGAACAAGGTGTATATATAAGAACATAAGAACATAAGAAAATAAGGAGTCTGCAATAGGCCGGTTGGCCTGTGCATGGCAGCTCCTGTCGAGAGTTACTACCACTCTCTATCATCCATGAATCTATCTAGCCTCCTTTTGAAACTTTCCAGAGCTCCCGCACTTACTACAAAGTTGCTAAGCTTGTTCCACTCGTCCACCACCCTATTTGTAAACCAGTTTCTTCCTATCTCCCTCCAAAACCTAAACTTATCCAACTTGAATCCGTTGCTCCGAGTCGTATCCTGCTCGGATATTATAAGAACTTTATCTATATCCCCTTTATTGATTCCTTTCACCCACTTAAATACTTCTATCATATCTCCCCGCACTCTTCGTCTTTCTAGGGAACGCAAGTTAACTTTCTTTAACCTATCCTGATATGGAAGGTTTCTAAGTCCCGGAATCATTTTTGTCATTCTTCGCTGCACCGACTCTAGTGAATTTATATCCATTTTATAATAGGGGCACCAGAACTGAACCGCATAATCGAGGTGCGGCCTGACTAGCCCAAGATATACAGTAGTTGCAATAAGACCTCTGCACTCTTGTTACTTACACTTCTAGATATAAAACCCAATACTCTGTTTGCCTTATTTCGAACATTAACGCATTGTTTTCTAGGCCGTAGGTCCGGGCTTACAAGTACCCCTAGGTCTCTTTCACAAGTCGACTTCTCTAGGTTGATGTTGTTAAGGCTGTATACATTATCAGAATTTGTTCTTCCAATATTAAGTACGCTGCACTTGCTGGTGTTGAATTTTCTTTTGCCATTTTTCAGACCACCCCTGCAGTTTATTTAGATCCTCCTGTAATGCATTTGCATTCTGCCCTGAATTAATCTGCCGCCCTATTTTGGTGTCATCCGCAAACTTGCTTATGTCACTGCTGATCCCAGTATCTAGAGCGTTTATGTAGATTATGAACAAGAGTGGGCCTGGGGAACCCCACTGGTTACACGGCCCCACTCAGATTTAACACCATCTACGCTGACCCTGTGCGTTCTATCGGTGAGCCATGATTTTATCCAATTTAAAACTTTCCCCTCGATACCATGAGCCTTAATTTTTCTCAGAAGCCTCTGATGCGGTACTCTGTCAAATGCTTTGCTAAAGTCTAAGTAAATAACATCGTAATTTTCGTCATTATCTACTACCTCGAAGACTTTCCTAAAAAACGTCAGCAGAGGAGGGTGAGACCAGGTCCACAATGGTCAGGTATTAGGTAATGCCCCTACTAATCTTTAAAAAGCACCGCAACGGTGCCATTACTCAAATTCATGTTGACTGCTTCGGTGTGTTTAATGAGACTAGATTCTATAATGTTCCTACTGTCAATTGAATTACAAGGTAATATTGAGGAGGCATTATCCCAGTCAATGCAATGCTTTTTATCCCTCAGATGAACAAACAGAGCATTGGATTCCTGGCCTGTCCTAACACTATATTTATGTTGTTTAAGTCTAGTTACAAGATCTTTACCTGTCTGGCCTAAGTAAAACATATTACATTCCTTGCAAGGAACTTTATAAAGGCAACCAATTGTGTTGTTGGGGGAGTTCTTGATTAACATTTGTTTAACAGTGCATGAGTTTTTTTTAAATGCCACATTGATGTTCCAGGTTTTTAGTTGTAAAGGAATTTGAGAGAAATTTTTGTGAAATGGTAATACTAAGAGATTCTTATGGTCATGGGTGGGCTTGGGATCAGTTCTATCAAAAGATTTCTTAGTAATGTCCAGGCATTTGTCTATGAAAGATCTAGGGTATTTAAGGTTTGAGCCAATATTATAGATATATTTATATTCCTCATCAATGAATTCCGGGCTGCAAATTCTCAAAGCACGCAAAAACATTGTTGAAAATACTGACTGTTTGACTCTATTATGGTGGGCAGAATAATAATGAATGTATGAACACACATGAGTAGGTTTTCTATAAATACTGAACTTAAAGGTGTTACCTATTCTGTGTATCAGACAGTCTAGAAATGGCAATTTACAGTCATGCTCTAATTCCACAGTGAATTTGATCGAGGGGGCTAAGCTATTAAGTTGTGGCAGGAAAGCTTTTAGGTCCTCATTACTTGGCCAGGGACATAATACATCATCTATATATCTAAACCAGACTGCTGAAGGTGGTAAAATATTACTTAATAGTTTCTTTTCAAAGAATTCCATATATAGGTTGCTTAATACAGGTGAGAGTGGATTACCCATTGCCATACTAAATTTTTGAGCATAATATTCTCCATATATATATATATATATATATATATATATATATATATATATATATATATATATATATTGTATATATATATATATATATATAGCTTTCGTCTTTATTCAAGACATCTTGAATAAAGACGAAAGCTAAGGTGCTCGGTTGCTTCCCTTTTCCTGTGTGATTTTATCAAGATATATATATATATATATATATATATATATATATATATATATATATATATATATGTATATGCATATATTTCCCCACAGCCCAATAAAGTATATTTAGATATATATATATACTGTATATATATATATATATATATATATATATATATATATATATAAATATATATATATATATATATATATATATATATGTTATTATTATATATATATAGTATATATATATATATATATATATATATTTGTATATATATATATATATATATATATATATATATATATATATATATATATATATATATATATATATATATATATATATCACTGTAACTGGCTCCGTTGAGGTCAGTAATAAGTAAGTACAAATTACTTGTTCTCAGAATATCGTAAAGGCTTATAAATTTACCCTTGTTATTTTCAACAAACTGCCAATAGCCATAACCACTAAAAAAAAGTATAAATCCGTATATTTAGTGTACATATAAAGCATTTATTTCTTATTCTTCACGGCATACACTAGTATGGTGTTGCTAGCTTTAAAAACATCATTTATATGGTCACTAAGATTAACAAGTCAGTGGCAACAATTCCTCAACACCTTTCCTGGAGCAGATGGCGCGGTAGCCTTGTGCAGCGTCCCAGGGCTGACGGGCGCCGTAGCACATTTTGATGAAGGGCTCCGGATGAACCAGTGGGTAGCACCTGGACCGAACTCCCAGTAGTGCGTGACACTGAACCTTCTTTTGTAGTGAGATGTTGGCAGGGTTGACGGGAGAGATGGCGGGAGTTTGGCAGTGTTGGTCCTCCTGCCATGATGACACCAACTCCTGGAGACTTGGAGCCCTGATACCAGAAGGCATCAGCCAATCATTTCCCACTTCACCATCGTAAGTACCCAGGAGACCCGCCAGGCGGCCGAAGGTCCAGCCAGACACGTTCACTGATACCACACGTTCTTCACGGAACACTCGGACTGTTATGAAGGGTGACGTCATATTGACTTCACGGGGCGTCTTCTGAATGGTGACATCACCCTGAGTTTGTTGTAAGCTGCTCACCTCTTGTCCGCCGACGTCAACACGGAAGTCCGGCTTAATGGTGACGGTAGTTGTGCGAGTAGATAAGGTGATCTGTGGTGGGGCTGAGGGTTGTGGATGGGCCATGGTAAGCTTGTTGGAGGCGTAGGCAGCCAGCACCACCTTACACGGTGAACGAGGTACACGGAGAACAGCGCCGTCAAAGGTGAGGATCTCTGTGTCACCAACAACCATGGCTGTGCGGTTATAAGGGGGCAGCAAGTCTGAGAGACGACTGGGAAGCCAAGTGTAGTATACCCATAAGAAGTGATCGACATAAGCAGGGAGGTAGGAGAGCTGTGACGATATTAGCTTATCAAAACACGTGAGGAGGTTTGATGACAATTCATTTACCGCCTGAGTCAAGGAATATGCCGGATATGTCAGCGGAATGTTTACTTGTAAATGATTGGCATCGATTTGAACTTGAACTGTAAGATAGTTGATAAAAAATCGAGCAATTTCGTTCCTCAGATTTGTAATGTTTCTTCTTCCCTGAAAAGGAAAAAAGATTTTTAATAAAGTTCGAAGAATCGTAACACAAATTTTACATTATTGAAGCTACGCATGGTCATTATGTACATTACAGTATAAGTAAAGTCTTTTTAGAATAATACTGAAACCGGAAACTAAATACAGGAACAGAAGTTATGTTTGTATAATTACTTACTAAGTCTAGGTACTTATTGATCCATTGGATGGCATCTTGAACAAACAGAATCTTCACAATATTTTCGCGCATTTTGTCAATATCTTGTTGGAGTGTGTACTTCACCTTGGCCACCACCTGTGTGATGGCCTCGTACTCCTCCTGGTGCTGCTCCCTCATGGCGTCCATGTCCATCTTTATCATCCTGAAGATCCTCGTTTGTTCCAGTTGTTCCATCAGGCGACGCACTGGCTGTGGCATCTCGCCGTTCTCCACCCAATGGGCAGCATTTTTCATAACTAGAGAAAATTTACATAACCCTGAAGTGAAATGTATTTATGGGACTTCATGACAAAAAAAATCACAGTAGATAATAATACAACATACTTCGCACAGATAAATAATTTTATGCGACATAGTGATCAGGACACTGGTCGTAGCGAGACTCTAGTTTTGACTCACGGGGAAGGGGGAATCGTGGAACTCTGCGCAGTTTCCCTTCCTATATTACTGCAGGATGGTTCATAACTGGGGAACAAGACGTATCCGTAATGCTGATGCCAACGAGTATTTTTCCTGCTTAATATTTTTTCATTATAATGTCATATATTTCTCAATAACATTATTCTATTACATTTTACACATTAATACTATTTAATTTATACACAACAAATTATTCTTAGTCAATCACTGTGCATAAATCATCAATAACTGGCCAATTAAAGCAAATCTGATAACCTTCCCATGCAGTGTTACCAGATCACCTGCCTCATATCATGCAGGTGGGTTGGGCCGAACTTCTGGTGTTGACGGTTCTGTACATTGAGACTTGAAATTCAACTTAATATATTTAGTTTCTTCCAGCTAATGAAATACTACTTGTCTGGTCTCAACTCCTTAGTGACATATTACTGGGCCTTAAGTTTTATTGTGTTAAATCACTTAAGTGTTAAAGAAAACATCATCTGAGTGAATGTTTACCCTCCCGGTGAACCATTACCATGGCAGGATAAAAACATCGAACTATTAACGCTGTTACTGTAAACTCTTGTGATCACTGTTGGAGACTGTCTAGTGTCATCATTTTATTTAACCTTTGAAAAACTATTACCATGATAGCTATTAATTAATAGCGGAGCGATTTGTACCAAAGAATTATCATGTGGACCATATCACACGTTGATTAAACATATTAAGTTTGGTGCACATCCGTTATCGAATATTTTAGGGACACAGACAGACTGGCAGACAAGAACCAAAAAAATAATACCCGGCCCCGCAGTTACTGGCTGACAAATAATGTTCATAAGTTATAATTTCATTCAACTTGATAACAGGTTCCAGAGTACAATTACCTCTTGCCACCGAATGAGCGAGGAGCTGAAACTCGTGGTAACCAGAGTGGACCAGGTTGGAGATAGCACTGGAGTAGTGATGCTGCAGCTGAGCCACGTGCGAGAGGGCGAGGTTGTAGTCACTCGCCAAGCCTTCCATCCGCCCCCCACCAAGCAGAGATCCTACCTTCTCATACCGGGGGATAAGTCCATCAGCAACCAGATCTTTGTATATTAGAATCAACTCCTTCTTGATGTCTTCAATGACCACACGTAAATGGTTATCTGATGAAGTGGGGCCTTGTGGGAGGTCGTCTGCCACCGCTTTCTGGTACACCTGCCTCACCCACGCTGCACACCACCTCCACACACGTAGCCCCTCCGTTGACGCTGCTGACTGTGAACGACGAAAAACAGTGAATTCAGACAGTCTTACTCCTGATGTTTACACATCATTTCAACACTTTTTATTCACCAACTTGTATTATATTTTCACACAGTATCAAAGTCTCTGTATCAAATAATAATGATGCTCATAGTAAGACGAAAATAATTGACAAATAAATAAAATACAAACTATTCAATTAAAACAACGCCTTTGTAATAACTAACCTTCAGCTGACTGACATCATCCCTCTGTGCTGCCATGTCGAGAGTAAAAAGTGAAGGGGAGGTCAGCATCACGCGGACCATGACTGGGCTCTTCTTCCTCCCGCTCTCAACCTCAGATACACTTCCCTCAACCTTCCTCCAACTTTGGTTTCCCATCTTGAAGACATAAATCTTCTCACTGCCATGTTTGTTGACAATAAGCTCAATGAAGGCTGGTCTACACAGTCTTGAGTGAATGTCATAAGTACCGAGGACAGAAGTGAGTGCCACGGCCTTGATCTTGACGCCGGTACACTCAGGAACTTGCTCTGGCTCCATCACTCCAGCTATGTCCACCACGGGGCCTTCCTCGGTCACCACGCGGAAAGCTGCTGTTGCATCCTTATCAGTGACTCGGTCGTACTTGGCCGACATTTGGAAGGATACTGGTGAAGAGGGAGACTTCTGGAACTTGAGGTCAAAGCCAACCGTATGGGGAGCATAGGCCGTCACTATGATGAACTTAGGGCTCACCTTCAGGCTCTATAATACAGGGTACATCATGGATATTTTTCCAGCAAACAAAGACATTTTATTCCTTCGTGAAATGTTAAAAAAAAATCAGCTCACTTCCTCTTTCACTGATAAGTCTGATTTAAAGTAAAATTAATATAAACACTATTGTGTGTCATTATTATTTCTTATGAAACTTTATCTTAAAATTATAGAAATTATTCAATAAATAATTCAATTTTCCTTTAAGTAAAAACTTAACATTAAGCTGAGTTATACTTACCCTGGAGGTGAAGTGAACCACAGTCTTAACACTATCATCTGATATTCTGGTTGACTCAACAGTAGCCAATAACCTGTTCGCTGCGTCCGGGAACACATCTAGTTCGATCTTGCCCTGGAACTCATGGTCTTCTTCTGTTGATTGAATATCGACCGTCAAACTCTTATTTAGACTGGGATGGACAAAACGACCCTCTATCCTGTAGTTTTGTTTTGTGCCGTTAACTACTGAGAGATTCCTCCTGGCCGCCAACTCATATTTGGCATCACTCTCATGTCTTTTAGGATAAAATATGATACTGATCTCTGATGGGGAATACTTGGCTTTTGCCTCTATGGTGCGGGTAGGAGACTGAAGGAGGAGGTTATGGCTGCCTGGTGTTGGTTCCTGGTAAGTGACGTGATAAGTCCCTCTTCCCCTGGTTGTGTTTGTTGAACCTTCATTGGCAATCAATTGATGAATCATCTTTAAGGTATCATCAACGACTATCGTGTTTACCCCACAGTCTAAAGATTTAATTCCGCCTGCAGGATATAACAACAAATCCCAATTGAATATGGTGCGAGGAGCCTCCTGCCCCTCCCTGCACCTGCTGGTGAAGGTGTTCTCTTGGTTAGATGTATCGAAATCAACCACTAGCGGCTTCTCCAGCGATGGGTCAATGAGGTTCAACTGATTTGGAAATAAAGAATATATATATATATATATATATATATATATATATATATATATATATATATATATATATATATATATATATATATATATATATATATATATATAAAATATATATATATATATATATATATATATATATATATATATATATATATATATATATATATATATATATATATATATAGGTAATATCCACTTTATATGTATTTTGTATCCAGAAAACCCAAAGAAAATAGTCAATATTTACCTTTAAGTAAACTTCACGTTTCTCAGGTGTGCTTAGGTGCTTAGCCTCCGTACTTATATTGATCTGTTGGCCTCCAGGTAATATGAAGTTCAAATGAGAATCAAATTTGTAACTGAATAGACTCCCAAGCTTTTCCAATGTCAAGACGTTAGTCAAATTGTAGTTCCTATTCTCTAAGGTCTTGTAATGTACGGAGGTGTCTAATATTGTTAGAGAGCCTCGAGGAGTAACACTGCAGCTCACGCCCAGGACGACAGTTTTCTGAGACGGTGTAGTAACAACCACGTTGAATTTATTCATTCCGTAGAACAGTGATCTACCACTGGCTACACTAACTTCTGCCTCATAGCTGTAATTCATACTCCTGTATGTTCCACTTCCGCTGCAAAGGGACGGGAGTGTTTAGATAATATATTGAACATGTGATATAAAGGTTCATAAAGTAACTAAAAAACACTTGAATTATGAATACAACAATTAGATTCTCTCAAGATATTTCTAATACTACTTTTCTTTTTCTCAAATGTAACGATTCAGTTACCAGGAGATGAGTTATGCTCTATAATTTCTTGGTGCCTGTAAAATATATTCTGAACTTTCAATGACTACAGTCACATAACATCACTGAGGCATGACTTACGAGAGCGACGCTTGTGTGGGGTTGGAGACGTTAGTGACCACCTTGGCGTCATAACTCAACTTCTTACTGGAGTCCAAATCGGCGTCCCAGTACACCTCACCCGTCACTCTCTTTTCCTTTGTATAGAGTTTCGTGAAAAATTTAACTCTTCTCGTCCGTGATGTATCTGATGGTAACAGAGTGTTCAGGTTAAGATGAACAATCTTGTCTGTGTCAACATGGAGGTGGTGTTGGTCAGCTGTGGGAGGGGTCTCGATAGTGATGTTAAATTCAGTATCGAATACAGATTTGTGCTGGTTCTTTAGTTCAAAGGAAAATTGCCACTTGTTTCTTGCTAAGATGATGGTATTGGAGATTCTGTGAGGGCCGCCGGTGAGGCCATCGACTCTAATATGAGCCTGGAGCTGCACAATGGCGTGGTTGACCATAGCCAGGAGGGACCCATCCACCTGCACCACTATCTGCTCCCCGTGCTTGAGTGCTGCCACTACCGAATACCTGTATGGCTCCTGAACCTCCAGGCGGCTCTCAAACTTGATGGCTTTTATGTATTCAGGAATATCTAGCTGTAAACAGTGTAAGATATTATAAACTTTTATATGAGTGTGATCGATAGAGTGGACATAAATGTTACTCGTTAGTGTGCTTATTATTTTATGGTGACATTAGAAAGATAATCATATTACATTATGATAGAGGCTTTAACTGGTAAAACACACACACACACACACAGTATCTCCCCCTCCGCCTTCCACTAAGTTCTCACCTGGAATTTAACATTGTGCTGCTGGCCTGAGAGACCCACACTAGTGTCTAGGTCGAATATCTTGGTGTCGTCTCCTAAGCTCACCATTTGCACGGACACCCCCGCCTTGGCTTGCCCGTACAACACGTCGCATGAGGCCTTGTACCCCTCACTACCCATCTTAACTGAGTCAGAAAAAGTTTTGTCTAACGTTTAATAAAGTAAAACCTATATATTGAACATCTGAACAATGTAATTTACCAACGTTTGGTCTTATGGATAAATATTAATTGTTCTCGGGTGTCTGTGTTTAGTTTATATAATTCGAGTGGTGTTTTACTTTCCACTGAATTATCGTAAATTATTCCTCTCATTGTGTTTGTTGGGAGAGAAGTTATTATAACCATGATAAATGTGTGTGTGTGTGTGTGTGTGTGCGTGTGTGCATATTTATGTAATTCCCTGTGTGTGTATTACAAGAAAGTGACATGAGCCTGTCTTCGTGTGTAAGCTCTTATAGCTCTTATAACTCCTTTTACGTTAACCTCTGACATAGTTCCCTAAAATTAACAATGAACAGAGAAAGTGAAATGAGTACAATAAAGTTAGGTTTACGTCCACAGAACTGTCTCGACTGACAGCCTGAGTGACTTACACACCAATAACTGTACCTTTAGCCTCTCTTGGGCCGCGAGGGGAAAATATTTAGTCCACTTATGAACGAAATACGACAGGGAACTTTACCTGTGATAATGGTGCTGATGGCGGCGTCGTTACCTCTCACTATGTGTGTGGCTTTAGCTGAGACAAGATCTTGGTTTTTATACGTTATCTTAAAGGCAGATTTGCGTATAGCTGTCACGCCTGACTCCCCTCTCTGAAGGATTAAGGTGACTTTCCAACCTCCAAGGCCAGTTTGGAATTCAAACTTGCGTATTCTTGTTAGTAGAGGCAGGCGGTAGTACCTGAGGTTGCTTAGATCTACCCCGCCTGTAAGTAGATATAGACTTTCATAAACGAAGAGTACTAAGCTGTGGTAACATTTAACAGAGAGGGATTAGTTTAAACATCGAAAATACGTTTTATACGATGTTACTTATTACAGGCAAATGTTTCAAGTGAGAATTAAACTTACCCTCAAAATCCACGCTAACGTAATGCCTGAGAGCATTCTTTGTTCTGAACAAAATATCCAGCGAAGTTTCAGGATCATTAACTTTCATCCCAAACCTGCCCTCGATAACTTGTGATTCAGGATAAAAATTCCTGTTTCTACTAATGTACATCTTTACATCATGTTCTTGGGTATCTGGTGATGATCTTGTCGTATAATCTATTTTCATCCCCCGGGATACTTCCGTCTGACTAGACCTGTAATTTAGAAAGGCTTCGACGCTCTTGTGGTCTTCTCTGTTGACGATGGTGGTCCAGACCCTGGCGCTGGTGGAAGAAGTTCCAGCTGAAGCGGAGACCAAGAAGCTGCCATCTTGCTCAGTGTAGGAAAGAGTTGCTACTGCTTCTCTGTGTGTACTGGATCCAAATGTTCCTACTTTTAGCGTTATCATTTTGCTGCCCCTCTTGCTCTGAATATCAGCATTCATAAGGAACCCTTTCATGGCTGCCTCGGTCTTCTGAATATAAAGTTTAACGGATGACGGAGCTCCTAGAGGAAACATGTTACTGCGAAATACATCTGGGACGTCGAAGTCATAGCAAAACCTGAGACCTAACATGGGCTCAAGACTGCTGATGCACGACTGACGTTTGACTCTAATATCCCGCGCAGATGGTGGAGTGATCTTAGTGTCTGGTTGACCTGTGATGCCCTTCACGAGGTAAATTTCACTCTCTACTTCAATAATTTCCATTTTTTCAGGCAGATCTACCTGAATTTCCACCTCTCTACTGTTCTTATTTCTTATGCTTAATGAAATGCCATTATTACTTGAGGCAGTGCTGTTCATCTCGACACCAATTCGTCCAAGGTAACAGTCAAATCCGATGAAACCCGTAGCTTGGAGAGAGTAAGCCATCTTCAGTGTGCTGTTGACATTTTTGAGGTAGAAAATATCAAGGAGGTTTGGGTTAGAGACCACTTTGAACCCCACAACAGCAGTTCCCTCCAACTTCAGCTTAACGGGTGTTCCTTGGATGGTGGGCAGGACGTAGTCAATAGAGATTTGAGATGTGCGTGTGAGGTCTAAGTCTAGATTCGTCATTCTTAAGATAATTTCTTCATAAAAAGAGGAAAGCGACTCTACTACTTTCTTTACATTAATATCCTTCAGTTTTCCTGTTAAGGATGCAAAACTTATGTCTTGACCCATAATACGTGCAAAAAAATCGACTCGAGGAACTTCAGATTCTTCTCTACCGTAAAGCGTATTCAAGAAGTCGGTGACTGTCGAGACGTCAATAGATTTCTTTTTTCTATCAGGATTAATTACATTATTCCTGGTGTTACCTTCATTTTGTTGTAGTAATGAGGTTATATACCTGAATATTTTCCCAAGAGCAGCGTCGTGCAGGTAACCTTCAGGTCCAAACACCTCCTCGATGACAGGTTCTAGACCCTCAAGTCGGGCACCAACCTCGCCTATGTTCATCGAGATTCCCTCTAAGGCGGCAGTGAAGTTGAAGTCAACGGAGCGAGGCACAAAGGACCCAGGGACGTAGATGATGTTGGACTCAACGCCAGCACCAACACCGAGAGACGGGGCGAAGTAGGACATGTCTATGTTGCGGGAATATTTCCTGAAGTCTGTTTCAAAATCTCTAGGAAGGTTGACATTTGATAGGAGGTACCGAAGGTTCTCTCTCTCTGGAGTGATGGACTGTTGTGTGTTCAGCAGGTGACTCAGGATAAACCCACGAACTGAAATATAAAATCAAATTAAAATCTTAATTGTTATCCTTAAGCTGAAGCGTAATATTATTTCATACGAGTGAAAAAAATTATAAGAGGTATCATTTGGTTTTTGAAACTCTAAATTTCATGAACTAACACACGCACACACATATACAAGCGCGCGCACACACACACGCACACACACACAAACACTATTATTTTTTATAACAATCATGTATATAAATAAAATATAAACTATGCTCATGCCTAAACAACATCAATACCGAACTAACTTATCCTTACCTAACTTCACTGTAATTACTGTAATTACAATTCAGATTCAGTACAGATGTAAAGGATGTCTTAAATGTAACAAAAGTAAGAACAAATTAAAGCCATATTGACGTAATGATGAATACAGGGAGATGGATGATCCCGACTGGAGACATAAGTGAAGAGAAAGATAAAAATACTGGAAAAAAAAAAGATTATTGGGATGAGATTATAAAGAAAAGTAAAGATCATCAGACTGTGTTTGAGGAAAAATAACAAAAGAGAGATGGGGAGAAGATGTAACAAACCAATACAACTATAGAGAGAAAATAAAGATCAGAGGTGAAAAGGGAACTTAAATTTAGGTTAACATTTCTGAATAGAGAAGTTGTGGCAGTGATGAGTAAAATATGAACACGGTTTTGTGAGCGTTAGTAGCGCTAAGTAGAATGTTTTTAATACTGTACAGAAGCAGGGATGTCTGGTGAAATATATAACGTGAGCACAAGGGTGACCTCCATAGAATTTGTATTATAAGATAAGAGTGTAAAGTTTTATTGAGATGATTTAAAGTGAATAAAAGGTTAAATACAGATTGAGTTACCGGAATATCTAAATAAATTTGAAAGAAAAATGGACTAAGGGAGGACTCTCTGCCTGGGGAATTTTAAGTGCTAACGTTTGGGAGGTTCAAAGAAATTTTTAAACAAATTTTGTGGATTTTGAAAAAAAAGCAATTTCATAGGCCAGGAAAATAACCTACAGATGTCGCTGGAAAATAAACATTAATGAAGGATATATTAGAAGTCTTTAAACGAAATCTTCACTAGTAACAGGAGACAGCAGTGTTGGTAATTAGTGAACTTAACTGGTTGGTTCAGGGTTAGATAAGGAATAAGATCAATTTCTTTCCATAGTTAACATAATATTTCTTCAATTCAGAATACTTAATGAGAAAAGTTGATGGAGTAAAGGGCAAAGATAAAGTCATACAGAGTACTCGGTATACAGATGATACTGGTGTTGGTGTAGATAGTGAAAAGCCATTGCAAAAACTGGTCAACACATTAATGAGAAAAGGTAAAGAAAGTGATTAGTGTTCTTGCTGTAAATGCTTAAGTAATAATTATTTCCAAATTTGAAAATCCATGAATAAAACTAATTATGTTAGGCAACGGTGCACTTAAACCGGGTGAAAAACTGTATGTATTTGGGAAGTAACAAATTATACTGGCAAATGTGAGATAGAGAAATATAAAAACTGGCCAGGTAATATATTTCTTATTTTTCATGGAGGCTTGTGAAAAAGAAACATTAATAATAGTTTGAGGAAAAGGTTTCTGGCTTGTTACATAGGACAGAAGCGTGGAGACTTACAGCAGACATCAGCTGGAGGTTAGAGGCCTTCAAAATGTGGGACTATGGGAGAATGTTAGTGATAAGCTATAATGATAAAAACTGAATCAACGAAAAAAATATTGGGAATTTATAGTATAAGATATTAATTGGTAACAAAATAGGTAAGGTAGTCATAGTAAGGCAGAGGACTTAAAAAGATAATTACATGAAATTAAAAGATCAGCGAGGATTGGTAAAGACATCCTGAGAACGTTTGGTGAGGAGGGCCGTAGTTGTCAACCCCCAAAGGTAAGGACGGTACTACAACATGTCTGTACAGGCAATTGGGAGATATTTTTACCTTGATTATTATTTTCCTCTGAAATCTTCATAACAATGTTGTTTACATCTTCCTCTTGAACACAAGGTATTGACACTAGATAAGATGTAATACGAACCTCAGTTTCCTGGACAGGATCAAGAGCGATGTTCACAAGTTGGTCAGTTGTCTGTTGGGGGAAAATGTTAACTGCTAGACTTGTTAAATGAAGAGTGTTTGTGAATTATCATGAATAATATGTGAAAGACTTGTCGTTTTTTAACAATAGATCATATAAGGTGTCTTTGCTTACCGGACGATGGCATTTTGCCTGTCTGAAGGCCTGGGCGGCAGCCACTCTGATGTTGGTCTTGACGTTCTCCGTCTTCAAGCACCTTAAGGTTGAACTGATCACACTGGGTGTCATCACGCCCATGTTACCCAGCACCTTAAGAGTTGTTAAGGCAGCTTCTTGAGTCTCACTGTCGCTAGAGGGAGAACACTGCTGATGGAGTTTTTTACCCAAGACCTCGACAAGATTTCTAGTTGGTGCTTCATCATGACACTGAGTATTGTGTCGGCAATAATTTTTTACCATAGTTGCAGCAGCTAACATAACCGAAGGTGAAAGTTCGGAGGACACAAACAATGGTTTCAAGGCTTCCATGGCATGGATACATGGGCGGGGTTGAAGATAGAAGGCAGCAGTGTAAAGTGCAGCGCGACCTACTGTAGCCCGGCCACTCACCAGCTCATCCACCATAACCTTTACAGCACCAGACTCGTGGATGAAGGAAACAGCGTCCAGGAAGAGGCTCTCGAGTTTGCTGTGGTCTTGGCAGTAACGTCCGGCACGAATTTTGTCCAATGTTTGTTTCACAGCTTCCTCAGGTACACGACGCAGGAGCTGCACAGCCTTGGCCACCAGAGCAGCAGCATCACGCTCAACAAAATCATTAGTCTTCTCACAGATCTGAGTCATGGTTTGATCCAACTCGGCTACCATGGACGGGTCCTTGTTGAGCGTATGGTAGCTATACCGGAGACTCTTGCGGACCAGACTACCTTGAGGGATGGCAGGTGGTTGTTGGCTGGATAGTGAGACGTATCGCAGTGTGGACTCCTGTTTGGCTTCAACATACTTATAGGCACCATAGCTGGGACGGACCACGTTCTTATCCTCACAGATGATGGAAGAGTAGATTCCATTGGTAATCTCTTGTTTACATAGAGACTTGGACTCTTCCAGTGGGAGAGGACCTTTGAGCCAAGGGACCTGGGTCTCGGCAGGGGTGGGGTAACGTTCCTTGCACAAGCGGTGATTCTTCTCCTTCTTCACAATAACCTTGTCTCCTTCTCTCTCTACCTCGTAGTGCGTTGGGCACTTTCCTACCACGTCCGTCTGTTTGGAAATTTAATGCACGTATGAGTTAAATCGGCAAAACAGTTTTCAGATACAATTACCAGTGCTGTGATTGTTTTCCAATTTTATAAGTTTTGAAGTCAAAGAGAATTGGATTAGCAGTGTTAAGGGAGTTACAATTACAACACCAAAATTAAGTTTTGGATGGAATTGAAAGTTGAGGCAAAGGAGATCGTTGGTCGTTTCCAAACTGTCCTGACAGGAAGACAGTGAAGACACAACCACACAAAAAATGGTAAACTTGAAGGTTGTACTATAAAAATGTATTTTCTAAAGAAGTAAAAATAAAAAGTGAGCATATTGTCAAACACGTGATGTCAGGACCTGTAGTTCACTTGAAGACAGAACCTATGGCTAAGTTAATTAACCCTTCAGTATTATACAACTTCATAAAACTAATCTTATCATTAACTTAAAATAATATAGTTTTTTTTTCAAGCTTGAATTCTATTTGAGGCCCAAGTTGTGTGAGACAAGACTTTAATGTATTGCGTATTAAATATTGTGTTACCTCTGTCAAATTCATTCCGGACGCGGTAGAGGAAAGCGATGGAAGTGAGTTCTGGAAGGCTGAGGCGATGCCCTTCTTGATGTTGATGGACCAGACGTCGTCTTCAGGATGAGTACACACGTGCTGAACCCGGCCGTCGGTCAGGGCCACCACCAGCGGGTACTTCTCCAGCAGACGATCAGCGGTGCTACCTAGAGAAGGCAGAAATGACTTGTGCAGGTCCGCGGGATGAGAAGGTTCTGGTGGTTTAGAATCTTTTAACAAAACAAAAGTATTCCATTGGCTACTTACGGTATCTTATAAGGAGACTCATGTTGGAACTTTCAATCAGGTGTTGTGCGTTTTGAGGAAAGTTTTTGTATATTTAGTTTTCCAGTTCATATAATTGTACGTTTTATGAGGTCGAGTAGATAATATCTTATTTTCAATCTCATTCTCAGCTGAAATTCAATAAAATTACCTAAAACTTTGTACAGAGATGTCTTACTGCAACCCTTTTATTGTATTTTTGACCATTTTTAAGGGGTCAAAGGTCACCAACAAGTTATGCGGGGGTGAATGAGGGAGTCAGTCATCTCGTGATTGTTGACCTCTTTAATACTACTCTGTCTTCTTATTATGTCACCTTTTATTCTTCTATTGCACTACTCACTATCATTTCCTTACGACCCACCAACACAAAATTGAGGGAAGTAAGAGAAGAGTGGACTGTTGGGGAGCCTTGGAAACAAACCAGTGAACCTTAGGACAAGAGTTGAACGTTTTGCCCACTTAGCCCGGGAAAAAGTACAGTTAACAAGATATATATTTTTTTTGTGACATTTGGAGAGTAAACGAAAAATATGAATGAATTTGGGGATACACATGTTAGGAATAAAGTCCTTACTATTGAATGAGGGAAAGGTGAATGGCATGGAGGGAATATGAATAGTAATAAAACAAGAGGAATGAATATGACGGTAGGGAGAGTGATAAATGAGAGTAAAGGAGCGTGTGAACCGTGATTTAAGAATAAGCTTCATTTCCCTGCAGCACATGAGTAAAATTAAGCTTTACTTCCCTGCAGTGCTAAGAAGAAGGGTGTTTTATTTCCCTGCAATACATCCATAAAAATAAGCTTAATTTTCTTGCAGCACCATCAATAAAGATAAGCATCACCCCTTTGCAGTACTAATAAAAACACTCCTCACCTGACACACCGTCCACTATGGGTTCCTTCATGTAGATGGCCACGTCACATGGACCGAGCCACGATAATTCAACTTGTGAGGACCAGTTAGTCTCTGACACTCCACCGTCCACTCCCTTCAACGCCACTTGAGTCTTGCCGGAGTAGGCGTAGGAGTAGGTCTTCCCCGGGAGGTAGTCGAGTTTTGGGGAGCCTGTGACGGGGCATTCGGTGGAGCACTTAGGTGTGTCACTTGTACTCGACGACGCTGAAGGAGAGACAGACATATAAGGTAAAGATTTATGAGAAGTTGTTGTGTTTTGTATTGTGTAGAGATATGATTAACAAGTTTGTTTTCTATTTCAGGTCACCTTTGATTACAACGAGAGGGTATGTGGTAATCATTTACCTGAGTCTAGGTTTAAAAGAATCTACTTAAGTCGAGGAAAAGCGAAAAATACGATAATATCTTGAGATTTTGTAACAAACTGTAATAATTCTCTGATGGAGAACATAACTTATATAAAAAAGTTCACAAGAACATCAAGATGTATTGTGTAATTATTTTTGTGAAAATAATAACAAATTTCCTTTTTGTGTTCTGTACGTATCGTTTGTATCTAAATTTGTATCTCTGAGCGCGCGCGCACGTGTGTGTGTGTGTGCGTGAGTGTGTGTGTGTGTGTAATAATAATAATAATAATAATAATAATAATAATAATAATAATAACGGTTTATTGAAAGAGCTTGGCAGCCAGAAGGCTGAAAATATATAGTTACATATTTGGGGAATGGGTTTCGAATTACAAATAATATACAAGTAACATAAGTGATACAAATAAGATATATAATAACTAGATGGGGAAAAGCTCAAACTACAGTGCATTTCAACATAGTGACAGTGCAAGAAGTAGTATTTACTGGGAGTCAATACACTGGTTTATTACAAGTTATTGATAATTTCTACAATGGTTGGGACTGGGCTGTTCTTATAGCGATCAGTTCGTGCACGTATGGGCTGGATGCGGTTGTGGTGTCGAACAGCAATTCTCGGGCTAGGGATCTCAGGTGGTAGTAGGAGCCGGTGTCGAGGATGGTGTAGAAGCTTCTTACCAAATTTGCAGATGAGGTCGTGGTGATGGTCAGTGAGAGTCGAAAGGGTCAGTGTGTTGAGCGCTTCTTGATATGTGGAGTAGGAAGGGGAGAGAATAATCTTGCATGCCCTCTTTTGCACTTTTTCTAGGTGTTTACGTTGTGTGGCATTTAGGGAGGAAGACCAGGTAGGGGAGGCATAGGTGAGCTTGGGAAGTATGAATGTTGTGTAAACACTGAGGAGCTCGGGTGCAGGAACTCCGAGGGACTTGAGTCGGCGGAGGAGGTGGAGACGGAAACTGGAGGATTTGACAACTTCACTGACGTGTGGTTTCCAATTTAGTTTGTTGTCTATGGTGACGCCGAGGAGCTTCGTGTGTGTGTGTGTATGTATGAGTTTATGTTTGTGTGTGTGTGTGTGTGTGTGTGTATGTGTGTGTGTGTGTGTGTGTGTGTGTCGTCTCAGTTATGTATACATCTACAGCTTTAATGAAGCCCCTCATAATTAAGTACACATGTCCGCACTCTGACTCCTGGACGGTAAGAGCTGCAGTGTTTATATTGATTACATACATTCATCACGACGACCGTAAGAGACCAAACATTATGGTCATTGTTTTGAAAGCGGCGCTACCAAGGCTTGAGTTGATACTTACCCGAATATACAGTTTGGTGTGGCTCATCCTCCTAGAGTGTATCAAATGTCAATGTACGAGAAATCACTTCACAACTCATTCCCAGGGTGCAGGCTGCCGTAACTTCTTCAAAGATTTTTTAACATGAAGTTACGTATTATTAATGGCTTAAGTCCATCACGTTTACTAAAAGTGTATTGAAATGAAACTTAGTGTACAGGAGAGGAGGAGAGACGGAGACTAACGGAAGTAATGGTGAATATTAGGTCCCTCCCTCCTTCCCTTTCTCTCTCTCTCCCTCCTTTCCTAACGCCCTCCTTTCCTCCCTCCCTCTCCCTGAAGAAGGATGGACAAAGAAAGGGCCATCATCATGATTGCCAGGTCATTACTCAAGATGGTTCACGTTAATTAGAAGTATTCAGAATGTACCGTAAATATCACGAAGGGCATAAAAGAACCTGTCACTAAGGGCATGCAAGAACCTGCCACTAAGGGCATATAAGAACCTGCCACTAAGGGCATATAAGAACCTGCCACTAAGGGCATACAAGAACCTGCCATGAAGGGCATATAAGAACCTGCCACTAAGGGCATATAAGAACCTGTCACTAAGGGCACACTATAACCTGCCACTAAGGGCATACAAGAACCTGTCACTAAGGGCATACAAGAACCTGTTAGTACCGTCAGAAGATACAAGACACAACGCTAAGCCGTAAACCGGTGAATATTAGAAGTTGTGTAAGTACTGCATTACTGTTTACCTGTACAGTTACTGAGTTGTGGTCATATAAACACAAATGTTAGAGGGAACTAATGAGTGGGACTCACCTGCACCAGCACCCACCACAAGGCCGAGGACAAGGAGAGCTGCGGTGGTGATCATGGCGACACAACTGCGACACCACGACTGTGCTCCACCTCTCGTTGTTCCCAGCTTGTATACCCGCTGTCCCCTCCCTCCAACCTCTTGCTAGTTGAGACTGAATAAAAGGAAATTCTTCTCTTCTGAACAGTAAAACTCAGAATAATTAGACTACTTATACATATTAAAGGGGGTATATCCTAAGAGACCATGCTTGATATAGCACCCTTGTGTTCTAGATCAAGGGTGAAGCATGATGCTTCAACATAACCTAGATGAAAAAGCAGATATGACCATTTTCCATAAGCCGTACTCCGGATTCTTTTAAACTCAATATCTTACAAATTATACGTGAGACATTATACAAGGAAAGCTCTGTATATCGAAAAGCAATTAGGTGTTACATTCTTAATAAACTATCTCCACTAACCCCTTCACTAGTGGACGACTCATTAATATTTTGTTTGCTTAACGATAGGCTACACGTTAATGTTTCCTATAACTGCACAATAACGAGAAATGTTGTCCTCAGGAATTGTTCTTATTCTTTCACTATCTTCATTTCCTTCTCCTTTTTACCAATAACTACCTTATTTGAGTGACCTTAGTGATAAGGATTTAAATGGCAACTCAAGTGATGATCCAGACAGTGCCAACACTTATGGTCAAGCCTTCTACACGTTACTAGTAGTCTACATGTACAGTCAGCCTGTATTCAACAAACAAGCTGGTAACCGCAAACGTGGACCATCAAAGTTTAAGATAGGTAACAACACTAATGACTATGTCTTCTCTTAAATATCAAGGTGTCTCTATCCTCTGTACCTCACCTGACATACAACAGCTAACCCGCCAATGTACAGATAGGTTAAAACCCCTTAAATGTGTAGCGGGGCACAACCCACATTGTGGCGCTAATATCAGGATTGTCAAACACAATGTACGTACCTAAGCTATATAAGATCTCTGATAGATTACCATGCACTGATCTTTCGTGACGGGAAAGGCGTTGACAAACTCTAAAAAATGCAAAGTAAAGCCCTTAGAATTATTTTAATGTTGTCCCATGAGCACTTAAGTACCTAATATGAGGAAAGAACTAGGTATACCCAGTGTCAAAGATAGAATAATTGAAGTCAACCTCATGATAGCCCTGAGGCTTTTGCGTGGTGATCCAGATATTATTGCTTCAAAGAAACTGCTAGAATATATGAGCCATGAAACTGGTGAATCTAATTGGATCCAAACTACAGCTACACAGTTATGAGGATGTTTGGACTAGACCATCTGTACAAAGTTGAGACACAGCAGCGCTTCCTGCCACCCGACATCACAACACCCACGTACCCGCCTAAACGACTGACCACACATAATCCTTATCTCCAACACACTGCCAAAGTGAGAGCTCTTGACCACATACATAACCTGCAGACTGAAAATAACATCACACAGACTATCTACACTGACGGCTCTCTTAACACTGTCTGTGGAAGGCCTGGAAGTGCTGCCATTAAGACTCAGTCTAATGGTAATATAATAGAGAAAGGAGCTAGAATTAGTAACTGAACTATTTGTCATACTCACAGCCCTGAAACTTGTTGAAGACACTGCCACTGACAGTCTCATCGTCACTGACTCCTTATCCTCACTACTTGTTCTTGATACCCGAAACTCAAATTGTCACCCGCTTGTCTCTGAAGCCAGACACAAGCATGTGTGTCTTGTTGACGAGGGTGTCAGGATCAAGCTTCTGTGGATCTCCTCTCACAGGCATTAGTGAACATGATAGAGTTGATGCCTTAGCTAACCTCGCGCCCAACAATGACAATGTTGAGTACAATCTGGGACTGTCAAACATAACCTTAAAAGCCGTAATCAGAAAAGAGCTTTCTGGTGAATTTGAAGCCAGTAGACAAGTGCAAACAGGCACTAGCCAATCCATTGTTTACCATGATGAGAAGTATCAAATAAAACATGTATATGGAGCAAATAACAAGATCATTAGAGTACAAGATGTTGTAAGCTCTAGACTAAGGTTAGGATAAAAGTATTTCTGGCAATATGTTCCTCAGGCAGATGTGAACAAAACTAAATGTAAAGTGTGTGGCCTGACATATGGCCACACACTCCACGCACACTGTGTATGCAATGGCATTGCACTTTATCTGTGATGACAAGGTAGGTGATATACTGTACTAAGGCTGTATCCACACTTCGCATCTAGTACCTAATCAAAATTCTATGTACCGACGTAAACAAACAATGTTCTAGAAATACTCTGTAACATTTATGGCCATAATATTCATGTATCGTTGGTATTAAACAAAATTCTATCATCTTTTGTATTAAATGAATACCAAGCCAAGTCTTTGTAATATTTATCATTTTATATATTATAAAATCACATTACACACAGAACTAAATACCACAAACAAACAAAAAATCTAAGAAAATCCCAGGATAATGGAATAGGGATTTTGGAAAAACTCTAAATAAAAAAAAATCGAACAGGAATTTTATGTTGTAACTCATACTAAAATTAGTTTTTTTTTCCTCAACTTTAGAGAGGAACTTAACTCTGTTTCTCTAACTCGACACCTGAGTTACGGTGACGCTCAAGTGTGCACTGTGTCACCTCGTGTTCGGAACTTTTCATATCTGTTATTAACCTGCCCGTTTGTTTACATAACCTTGAAATTTTAAAAAGAAATGTTGTTTTTTCTTTGTGTTAGTGATATTTTGTGATTTATGATAATTCTTCTTTGATGTTACTGACTTGTCTCCATAACTTACATCAGGTTCTTCTTTTTCTTTAAATTAACTTAAGACTACATAATCATTGGTTACTCCTGAAGGTAAAGGTGAATGATTAATTGTTTACATCTTCCCTAGGCATGGAGGAGCTGTGAGGTATTTGATGGTGCTGATTAATATGTGGTGCTAAGTTATACTTCTGGCTGGTGACGACTCTCGGGGTGCTATATACCACAGTGGTGACTTGGGTTGGTGATGAGATAAGCACCAGCATGTGTGTGTGTGTGTTGGTGAAGACACTAAACTGGTAAACTGTGTACGTGTGATGGTGATGATGACTGCAGCGCCACATCAGCAGCGAGGCGGAGGGAAGCACACTAAGGTACAGTCAGCAGGGGGAGGGGCAGCAGGGAGAGAGGGAGAGGCAGCAGAGAGGGAGAGGCAGTAGGGAGAGAGGTAGAGAGGGAAAGGCAGCAGGGAGAGAGGGAGAGGCAGCAGGGAAAGAGGGAGAGGCAGCAGGAAGAGAGGGAGAGGCAGCAGGTAGAGAGGAAGAGGCAGCAGGTAAAGAGGGAGAGGCAGCGGGGGAGAGGTAGAGAGGGAAAGGCAACAGGGGAGAGACAGCAAAAAAGAGAGGCAACAGGGAATAGGCAGCAGAAGACAGAAACAGCAGGAGGAGGATAAGGAGGAGTAGGAGGACGGGGGGAGGCAAGGAAACGGGGAGGTGCAAGGGGATGAGCAGAGACAGAAGAACGGGGAGAGGCAGAGGGACAGAAAATGGCGTCAATAATGCTCCGAGAATCAAACAATATTAGTCGCTTCATCTTTTCAATCCGGAGTTAAGGGAAAGGAAGGTTTTATTGGTGACTTTGGAGGAGTGATAGAGAGAGAGACAGGGAGATAGAAAGAGACAAAACAATGATATGGAGAGAGATTGGAGTAAATTAATAGATACAGAAAGAGAGAATGTAAGGAGGAGATAACAATACAGAGTGAAAGGAACAGAGAGAAGAACAGAGAGAGAGAGAGAGAGAGAGAGAGAGAGAGAGAGAGAGAGAGAGAGAGAGAGACTATCACCCATGAGAAAGTCACTGGAAGCATAATTATGAAAGACAGTCATGAGAGATTTTCACGAGAGACAGTCATGAGAGACAGTCATGAGAGAAACAGTCATTGGAGACAGTTATTGAATTCACACTTTTCTCATAAATTATAAACCTGACCTCCATCGTGTCACTGTTTATAATTGTCACACACACACACACACACACACACACACTGTACAACACTACACTAAGGCAGATACTCTCCATAAACACCGGGGAGGAATCACTACTATTCAACACCCGATAATACAACGTGTTGACCTATAACAATGGCCTCGTTATCACTTATACCTGAACCAGAGCTGTGAAGAACACCCGTTGTATCAACATCTGGGTTTCTCTACACATATATGCCAAAAAATGAGACATCTGCTTTCTCCCTGCCTGACATTGACGTAAGAACTTTCCCAGGACATGAAGTATAGTGGCAGGCAGTATCCCGGATGTTTGTGCTGGGCAACAACAGCTGGGTGGATCAGCAATGTGAACCTTAACAACAGTATCGGCGTAGCGGGAGTTGTGCACTCGTGGAATTCGCTCGCCTCGTCAGCTGAACCAATGTTATGTGACTATTGAATGCATCTCTGTACTGTTTTTCTTTTTATTCTAATAGTCTCTTAACATTTCATAGTTCTTTGTTGGTAGTGAGACGTGTGTAGGTTATTTGATTAGTATGATGGCCGTCTGGTTGTAGGTTAGTTCACTTGATGTAGGCTAACGTGTGATTTATTTTCCTTGGTAATATTCTTCGTCTGTCTCTTGTCTTGCTTGTTGTCAGTGCTAGTAATTAGTATATAAGTTTAAACTCTTTAATAGTTGTTCCTGGATTATAAAAATTCTTCTCTCTTCCATGTCTGGAGTATACTGGACACAAAATATGGTCAAAATTCAGGAAAATGTTACAAATGTAAGATCGATACATGTTTTTTATTTCCCAGGGAGGTAATTGATATGTTGCCTTTGTAATACTTAAAAGAGAATAGCAGGTTAAACCCCCTTCAGATTAGGTGAGATTAGATTAGGTCAGTTTAGGTGAGACTAGATTAGGTTAGGTTAGTTTTGTCTGACTGAGTCTTTCCTACACACTGACGCTCCCAAATCTCCTGAAGGCAATCATCCATCACTCAGCCTCTGGTCGTTTCTACCTGTTATTCCCAACTATTC